TAGTGTTTTGTATTAAAGGTAGAAAATAATCCTAAAGTAATTATAAAGTTTTTCGAAAAACCAATATCCAATCCAATTAGTTTACAAATTCACATTACAAAACTGAATTTCAAATTCAAATAGGAAATCGGATTTTTATTAGCGCTACATCATATTTGACGACTCGTGTTTTGAGTATAGTTTATTCATTTATCCTTTATTGCACAAAACTTAATAAGTTCGACTTCGTGTATTATTCAATGCTATTCCAATATCTTTTTTTTATAGAAGAGGATAGATAAACATGGAAATTCACTTATGGGTAGGTAAAATACATCTAAATAAAATGCACTGTCAACATATTTCATTAGAGCGGTGGTTCGTAATTTGGACGGAATTTTAATTTGATATAAGGATTGACCTATAATATCCAGATTTCTATACGAAGTCCAGCATGTTTAAAAAATATACAAATTGATATGACACTTGTTGGACCTGGTGGCGATCGAACCCAAGACCCGTTGATTACAAGGCATACATCACTACCATTATACCAACGAGTCAAAATATTTTAATTTACTACTACTTAATGATAATTAAGACCCAAAACAAAGCCCAAAAACATTCGGTTTAAAAAAGCCGGGAAAATAAAACCTTTTCACATTTTATGGCAGCTTTCATAAATTTCCTATTCATTTTCCTGTTTTTCCTGAAAGTGTTTTTTTCTACTTATGATTTATCCGTAACTTTATTTTATGAGACAATCGGATTATGCGGATTTTGCGCGAAAATAGCCTTAAGAAATTAAATAAATCAAAGTACACTTTGATTAAAATTAGCAATAATATACTAAGTGATATTTAGACCAGTTCCTTATATTATATCGGCATCTTTAATATTTAAAACGCGATATATTAGTTAAACTTATTTGATAATGATTTTTAACTTCGGGCTGACGTTTCGGATGCTTTGCAGCAGCCGTGGTCACGGGGAGACTCTTTTCAAATAAGTTTAACTAATATATCGCATTTTAAACCGTTAAAGTGTTTTATTTAAATTTCTGCTACTCGCATTAACTATAGACAGTATCCTTAATGATTGATAAAATGAGGAAAGTTTTAGTAAAGTTAGTTAGGCAAGAAGGCTTTTACCATAATAACGTGGTAACTGAATTGTGTTGTGAAACCGGAGCGTAAATGGATTGAAATAGGTTTAGTTCCGCGCTACATAGCTGCTGGTGGGATACCGCAAACAATTCCATTCGCCTTGCCTTGGGGCCGGTTGACACTCTAACAGGTCGTTTCTTCAAGTTACAAGTCCTTATAGGTTTATATAAAACACTTCAGTTAAATTTATTTAAAAAAAATCAATAAATTTTGACTGGTGCGATATTTATAAATGTATCTAACTAATTAACACATCTTTTAAATATTAACAAACGTCAAAATGACCCTTTCCAAGTAGTTTTTGTTTTACATACGATTAAAATCTATCTATTGACAGTGCTTACATTTCTGTGGATTTTATTAAAATGCCGTATGTACCTTAAAAGAACTTCTACTTTTATGGAGCCTTCTGATCGGTACATTTGTTTTCTCGTTATTACGTGTATTGTATTGATGTTTAAAGCACTTCTAACTGCTTAAAACGCTTATACATTAAAATATGTAACATAGGAACCACCGTCATACAACAGACGTGGTCATGAGAAGCCAGTAATACGTTCAAAATGTCAGATACTGAATCAAAATCAAATTTCACATTTTTAACCGATAAAAAGATACAACTGTGTTTTTATTGTTAAACAATAGACGTTAACCACAGATAATTCTTAATTTGTCATCCATTAAAAAACACAATTTTTTTCTTTTAACAAATTCATTTATTATTGCGATAATTTAATTATTCAATGAACACGAAAAAACACTTCAAACGACTAACATATGAACGAACTTTAACATTTAAGCAATAATTACATTCTGTTTCGTATAAAATTAAACAAATTTATTTGTTAGATGGCTACAAATAAGTAGGATAAAGACACTTAAAATACAATACATACAATATAAATACTTAAGGTCACCTCTATTTTACCATTTCTTGAAGATAGAGTATTGTACATATATCTCACAATTTAGAGACAATACTTACTGCCAAAATGTATATTTCTACAATATTCAACTGTTGAGATTAAGACAGTATTAAATATTGAGAGATATAAAATAGGGGCGATATAAATGTCAGCAATAATAAAAGCTCCATTTTTCTTTATAGTCTTTGTTATCTCGAGTTATAAGTGAACTCCATCCGCGCTCCTTTTCATGGGAAAACTAAGATAGAGCAAAAGACATCTTGATTATTATTAATAACATCAAAGATATCTTGATTATTATTTATGAGTATTGTTTAAACAGTACTCATAAAAAAATTAAACGAATCTACGTCATCAATGTTTGTGATCAAATTTCTGTGTCCTGCTCGACCGAAATTGTATTTGATTTAAAACTAGGATTTTTACGCAATGCATAATCTATACCCACGGAGTCGATTAGAGGGGATGCTTTTATGAAATTATTTTGGTAAAGCTAGATACATACAACTTATGTTAGTTGTATAATTTAAATAAAACATTTTTACCGGTAACGCGAAAATATATAAGCTAGACTATCTAATAACCATGGACACGGGGTAGACTGATATAAAGCCTCCGAAACGTCGGGCCGTTAAAGTAATAGTAAGTTAAAGAATATATTTTAGTTAAAAGTGTATTGTTTAAATGGGTAAACTACAAAAATTAATTAAGTTAAATTATTAACATTTTAGAAATCAGTAACTTTAGAGAAATGCGAAAATATATTAAATTTAGGCTAGGCTTTATGGAGATCATTCAATAATATATCAGTTGAATGATCTACTTATACTTGTTGGAAATTAAAACGTTTTAAAATGTGGTAACCCGTGTTAAGCTTTCTTTAAATCAACGTAAGGGATTTTCAATCAAGTAATCAATAATTACCAATTCCACATGTACAAACCTCTGAATCCAATTTCATTGAAAAAAGGCTTCTACGTAAACCAATAATGCAAAATCCATCACACCCCAATGACAACAGTGGGTCAACTCATATTGACCTCCTTTATTTAACAGCTCATAACCGTAAAACACTGGCAAGTAATACGCTCTCAGATTTATCGTTCTCGAAGCTTTGGAGAATATAAAAGATTATTATTTGTGTACTTATTAATATTTTGCCACTATATAGCTATTGTTAAAATATTAAGAATTGCTTTATCACACCCCATAACAATCGAGAAGTAATAAAAACTCTCTTGAAACTAGTTTTATTTGTGTGTAATGGCTTTATCTGTGGCTTATCTGTAATTGCAAGTTAGAGAGAAATTGTATTAAAAAATAAAATATGTTTATTGTATGTATCTTAATAATAGAATTACAACTCATCTTGAAGCTTTTCCATTTATTCTATGACTATCTTGTATTGCAGCGGCCTATATCATACACTAGCTGTGCCAGCGACTTCGTCCGCGAGAATCGTTTTTTTTTGGGTCAAATTAGTTTTTGCAAACCCCGTCATCTTTATAACTCTGAAGCCCACAGAGATGAAAAATTTTCCCCCCGTTTTGTTCACATTTCCCGATGTATCTTCGCTTCTATTAGTCACAGCGCGTTTTATAGCCTATAGAAACGTCGGGCCGAAGTTAAAAATCATTTTCAAATAAGTTTAACAAATCGCGTTTTAAACCGTTAAAGTGTTTTATTCAAATGTTACTACCGTAAACTAGACAGTAGCCTATAGACTTCCTCGATAAGTAATCTAACAAACACAAAAAAAAAAACAAATTTTCAATTCGAACCCGCTTCTTCAGCTTCAAACAAACAAACAAAATCTTCAGTTTTATATTTTCGTATAGATAGAAAAAAAAAACAGTGATCGAAAAAATATTCCTATACAAAGATACTTAAAAGTGATTAAACATGTTTTCCTAGATTGGTACGCCAAGCAATTGTAATAAAAAATACAGAAACACATTTCAATACGGAGGACGGCCTCAAATTTTCAAACACCTGGCATCCCATAATATAACCTCTGGATTCCAATAAACAGCATACCGGCAAAAGCGAAGACACCGTGAGTCAATTCTGCAAGCCAGTTTCGCCAAATACCAACTTCGATGGAACAGTCAGAGAGATCCTCCATCTTAGTCTCCCCGTGACCACGGCTGCTGTATAGCATCCGAAACATCGGACCGTAGTTAAAAATAATTTTCAAACAAGTTTAACTAAAATATATCGTGTTTTAAACCGTTAAAGTGTTTTATTTAAATGTGTACTATTCGCGTAAACTACAGACAGTATTTAGTGATTAAACAGTTTTTATCGTCAATAATTATTTAATGATTTTTATGAAATTATGTTAATCAGCTGTATGGCGACCAAATTTTGTGTAACTGAAGCCTAACGTGCCTACGCCGTAGCAGTACTACGAAGACAAATATAACTAACTAGCTAAGCCCGCGACTTCGTCAGCGTAGAATAGTGACTTGGGGTAGAATTTTTAATTATTTATGCTGTTTATTAATTTATGTAAGGTGCATTTAAGGCAGCATCTAGTTGTAATCACTGCCCAACCTCTCCTCCTCACTCCTCTCTAACTCCCACTCTCATCCTACTCCTGTTCCCGCTTCCACTCCCATCCAATTCCCAAAAAGCCAAAGAAGAAAGTTTCATTGTTCTAGCTTCAAAAACCACGAATTCCCATACAAACTTTAATCCCTTTCTTCAATCCCTATATATATAATAACCTGGATTTGTCGTGTCCTACTTATTATCTTTCCTGGGGCTCAAACCCTGCATCGCTATCCATTGGGCCACTGGTAGTGACCGTAAATTAGCGTACAAATTAGTTCTAGTGTAATTTGATGTACGTCTTACGAAGAAGTGAAATCTGTTTCGCCTTTACTTATAACTGTTTACCTTTGCAGATGATTTGTTTGCTGTGAAAATGGGTCGCAATTCCGGTGGGATCGACGCAAACGGAGAGTTAAGAATACTACTAGTCGTCACTGTTATTGTGGGTTTACTTCTAATGATGTCTTTGCTGATGTGTTACGCGTGCGTCCTGAAGCGACTCTGCTGTGGAACGCCCAGAGAACGAGCGAAAAACATAGCAAGCGCTAGAAGAACGGAGAGCTTTCCAATGGGGGATGTCACTCTTATATCCCAGCCGACAGAAAGTGAAAGAGTTTAGTTTGTATCATTCAAACGAAATGTAGTAGACGTATTGTTCCAGAATTTAATAGAGAGCATTCTTTGGTACACATTCCTATTTGATAATTATCGTAACTGTGTATTATTTTAAAGATTATACGTATAAATATGTTTTTATTACAATAACTCTTCCATTGTATTTTTTATATCGAAATATTCCAATATAAATGAGTAAAAATAATTCCTAAATGTGGAGTGTAAAAGTACTAACCAGGCTTTTATCAGTACTTATAGATACTGTATGTAATCTAATGAAATTTTGTAAGTCTACGTAATATCCAAGTGTTTGTTATTCCATTTTTATAGTGTATATTTTAGGTTATGCCTTAATTTATATTCGTGAACATGTTTAGCTTTTTATAGATTGTACGAAAATAGACTAGATTCGTTATAATGACTGATACAATTTTGGAATTCATACAACACTGTTACTGTTGTTTTGACGAGCTCGTTGGTCGCAATTTATGCCTAACAGGCAACGAGTCGTGGGTCTAGTATGTTTTTAATCAATTTATAATTTTTCTGAATCATGTTAAATTTCGTCTGGATATCAGGATATAAAATGGGTGGTAGGAATATCGAAATTCCATCCGAGTCTTGAACGAACGTCCGCCCGTGCATTTCTGAATATCCAAAGCCAAAATAGGTCAACAGTGCGAATTGTTGAGATTTTTTATGTCTTGGGCATTTCAACTTCCATCAAGCGAAACCCATGCTAGTCTGCCCTACTTTGTTATAAAATAATAACTTTCTTATATACAAATGAACATACCATCAATCAAGGAGTTATCAATAAATAAAAGACTAAACTTGTAACATAATAAAATATTGTATTTCCTTCAATAGATGTACTTTTTAGAATGTATCAAAACCAAATTATTATTTATTCAGTAGACTATACACCATTTAGATAACATTTATTATTGTAACAATATTGTCTGTTCCTACCAATCTTTAAAAATACATAAAATAAAATTTAACACACCATGTCTAATTACCTCCTACTATTTTAACTGTAATAAGAATTAAAATAACACTTAAACATAAATATCGCTAGACTTTATGAAGCTACCAAGTGAAAATAGAAATAGTAAAGATGTATATTCTTTCTACATCTTAAATATAACACAGTACTTTAAGGCCATAATTTTACTATGTAAGTTTATAAGTTATTTAACATAGAAAAATAATATGCATCAACAATTACATTAAAATATGATATAATTTTTATTTGATTTTATAATATGTTTGAAACGTTTTAAAAATATTATAGATATGTATCTTAAAACCTCTAGTATACATTTGATATAAATAACACTTTGTTTTAATATATCGTTGAAACAATATTTCCCTGTAATTTCCAATAGAATTTTAATTTTTATCAATTTTTTTTATTATCAAATCCATACCAGAGTACCGTAAAGAACTATATATATGACACCGCTAGAGACAGAGTAGCCTAATTGCAATATTATGACTTGAGTTATTTATATTTATATAGTCTAAAAATGTTAATCTACAAAAGTTCCGTGGCCGGATATTGTTTACATATTACTTACACAAATACTATAATAGTTAAATTAATTTTCGCCTAAGTTAGTTAAGAATTCTTACTTTCCTCCTTATTGAAAATCATTTTTTTTGTTTTTAGGCCACTTTTTCTCTAATAGCCTCAAATGTAGTAAATATATATGAAAATCTAGGGTGTATAGCTCTGATCACGCAACACGCCATGTACTAACGTGCGCAAAGACTGAGGCTTGCAGTATTCCTCGAGCCAATTGAAGACGCCAGCTGAGAACTCCGCGAAATTATTGGTCGGCACCGATTCGAAGGATTCAAACAATTTATCCATGATGCCCTGAAACTGTTAAACTTCATAAAGATTCATATAAAAGGTCTTTTTTTGTGGTACTTTATAAGTTACCGAAGACTTCGCGATTGAGCTCAATAGAGCATAAATCAGACAATACTTGACGGTATGTCTTTCACAAAGTTAAGTTGATTTTGTCCTTATAAAGAATACAACAGAACATACAAAGTAAAAATAAATAGGACAAATGGTTTGATGAGATATATTAATAGGCAAGTATATTTTTTGTTCAATCCTGACTTAATTGACTGCGCAGTTTTAGAAGACAAATAGTATTTGCTACTACTCCCTTAGTTTATATTTAGTTACTTAGTTTATAGTGACCTATAAATCAACTTACAACTTGAAATTTCTCCTGGTCCGTCAATCTCTGCTCACTGTGGCCTGGTACTGAATGCTGGGCCTTCACGATCTGTTCATAGTTAGCCTGCATAATTCTCAATGCTACCACATCTTTGCGTAACGCGTTACGCTCTTCTTCTTGTCGACGTCGTTGTTGCAAAAGGTATTGTATGTAGTCAATGGATTTTTGTAAGACCTGTGAAGAAAACATGATTTTACAGAATCATACAATACTTAATTTTTTTAGGAATTATGGTATTTTAAAAAGTAGGGTATTTGGGTATGACAAGCCTACTTAGTAAATTAATATTGGAACTATAATGAGGTTTTTTTATGATAGATGAGGATAGCCAAATACGGGGTTCATTTGATGGATGGTGAAATAACCCACACTGATCTATGTTTGACCGAAACCAAAGCGAGATGAAACTTGGCTCTTTCAACTGTGGACAGTGGTTGCACCCTAGAGTATTTCATGATTCCTATCAAATGTTTTAAGACAATTATAAGTTTATTAGAAACTTATTAGACCCAGTGGGGGTCTAAATCACCACTCATAATATGCTACCAATAGACTAACAAGCCTGTCTAATGCAGTACTCAATTGTCCGTTATGTTAGCATATTACTGCTTGATTATTTATAAATGTTACTAGCTGTGCCCGCGACTTCGCATGGAATTATACTAGAATTATTTGTTTATTAATTTATATAATTACGCATATGTCGCAGTCAATCTATATTGTAAGAAGTGCTACTTTGCCGCAACACTCCCAATCCCCAATAAGCCAAAGAAGAAAGTTTCATTGTTCTAGCTTCAAAAACCACGAATTTCCATACAAAATTCCCCCCCCCTTTAACCCCTTTTTCGCAATAAAAAGCCTATGTCCTTTCTCAGGATCTAGACCATCTCTGTACAAAATTTCATTCAAATCCGTTCAGTAGTTTTGGTGTGAAAGAGTAACAGACAGACGGTTTACTTTTGCAGTTATAATATTAGTAAGGATAAGGATTTACTTACAGTTGCTTTACTAGGCTTATAGCCAGATGCATCTGTTTGCTGGCAAGTTGGCACTAACTCTTGTAATGAATCGTAGCCTTTCTTAATTGCATCTCTTCTTTTTTGTTCAGCCTGTAATTACATTTTCAATGGATGAAGACACATATGCACTTTAACTAATTTTAAATCATATAAACATTGAACTTAAGAGGCTAACTAAAGAATTTCCTTATTAGATGCTTCATAATGTCCAAAATATTATTTATTCACAATCTATTATGTAAAAGACTATATATACTAATACTAAAAGTAAATAGGTACATTTACATTTTATTTTATATATATGTATTTAATACATAATAAAACAATATTGTAGACATTGTTATGATATTTAGATATAATGTTGTTTATGATATGCATTTACTTAAATATACACTTATATGAATACATTGATTAGTACATGTACGTATAAATAACAGATGTTAAAGGATTGATAACAAATAATGAAATAAATATTTACCTGTGTATGGGCTTCCCTCCTCCTTTCTTTAAAACTTATTGCTGACGCTTTGTTGTCCCCACTATCATCTTCATCTTCTGTCAATAACAAGAGCCGAGATAATATTATCAAATGTTATCACCATTCACTTACGCGTGATCATTCAATATTAAATTATTAACTAACCTGAATTATGATTCGACGATGATGGTGTTTGGTGAATGTTTTGTATAGAGCCACTACTGCCACATCGAGAATACATAATTATCGTGATACTAATTTATTCTACGCTTATACTTAAAAAAATAATAAAGCAAGTTAAAAGGCCTTTGATATGAATTTTTATTTAATGTTGTTTATCTTGTTGAACCATTTGTCAATTGAGTATTGACATTTGAATTTTCTTATCTATAAACTACAGATACACACTGAGTTATGACATATGTAAAATTCGTATGGCCAAAACATACTAATATAAAAACCTACAATATATATACAATAAACTGCACTATTTTCTATTGGAAACACCGATACAAGGCCAGGGTGATGAGTCACACTATCAGTTTACTATTTTTTCCATTTCCCCAGCACTATAATATAATAAAGGTAGTAAAATACATTTAAAAGTTTAATATATATGTATGGTTACAAATTAATTGAATACCCTCTTTTAGCTGAAGTGCAGTGTAGTTTTAAAGATTGTTATTTAAGTGTCTATTTGTTTCAAATATAGCAGTTGCCTAAAGTTTTATAGTTTTTCAACTTATCTATTCCTTTAATACATACTTTTCAACATAATATATAACAGTATAACGCAAAAAAAAGTTTAAATAAATTTAAAATTACTTTTGAATTTATTGCCAATTATACTATATACTGTGCTCGGGAATGAGCTGTGCCACAGCGCCAACATTCGGTTCAACATGTTCGGTTGGTTAACCTGTACAGGCAAACTCCATTTCTACCAATAGTTTGAGCGTATTATACCTATTTACCAACCTTAGGACATTTGAGTTCAGTGCCAACATTTCGAATATAATTTTCATTTTTAACTTAGGAGATAGTGCCAACTAAAGAAAATTAATTCTTGTGTAAAATTGAAAGCAAAGCGTAGCGCCGAGCGCGATTGAATTGCGTATTTCGTTAAATTATTGTATTGAAAATCATTAAAAACATGTTCATGAACTCTTGAGTGAGTGTCGCGTTTTTTTGTAACAATTTCTTTAAATAAAAGTATATGATTTCTTCGTTAATGTTTGACTTCGAGCGACGAAGTGGCCTAGCCAACCATAGCCACCATTTTACTTTAGAATCGCCGCTTGGAGAATAAATAATTATGAATTCTATTAATATAATCTTAATAATAAGGGAGAAATATTAATGCATTTGATATTTATCTAGTGGCACGGCGATGACGCCATTGTAAAAAAATATAATTTAAGTCGGCGTTGTTTTTTTGTAAGAAGTCTAAAGAGAAAGTTTTTTACAGAAGTTGTATAAGAAAAACATTGGGCAAGATGGTATCGACGAGGCAGATGAGTAGTATAGGGAGTGGGAACGGAAATGGGAGCAACGATGGCGCGGGGCCTTCGCATGCAGAACCTGTGACTGTGGCGCGTGTAACTCGTCACTCCAGTGCCCATTTTCCAGGCGGCTCATCTCCGCATAGCAGTTCTAAGAATGCAATAGTTCCGGCTCCTAAAACATTTACTACAAGCCTTGGTGATATGCCTGTAGAAGTCATTGAAAAGATTTTTCGTTACGTCGGTTATAGAAGTGTGTCACACCTTAGATTGGTAATATATTTAGTTTAAGTCTATGCAAAAGTTGCCCTGAAATACCTGGATCATTAAAAATATTCTATTTGTTTTAGCTTAACCGACAGTTCAACACAATATGCAGTGACATCTTAAATTCTACATTTCAAAGATTACAAAATCAAATGCTGCACCGGTTCCAAGCTATTAAGGCTAAGATGCCTCGACGAGAGTCTGCACGAAGGAGTCACCCCCTTGCTTGTGAATCGGATATCATTGAGACATTGCATATGCGACTAAGTTTATTGCAAATGACTTTTGGCAAACACATTGAAAGGAAACATTGTTGTTTTTTCCCTGGGGAGGTAATAAAATTGTTTGCTCATCTTGTTGTATTTATTTCAGTAGTAGAATTTTCTGGGCTTCTAATTTTGTTTTAATCTTAAATTTTTTGAAAACTGAGTAAGTTTTCATTACTTTTGGGTATTTGGAGAAATACAAACTAAGTTAAAATATTTAGTTATTTTAATATCTTTGTTTTAGATATTAGATGAAGTGTATGGTATATTATCTTATTTAAAAACAACAACAAAATTGGCAAGGCCTTATAAAGTGACGGATGAGCTGTTTGATTTGACCACGATGGCGATGGAATACTTTAAGGAGCACATTGAACCGAACTTACCAGAAATCACATACTTTGGCACTGATTTCTTTGACATCACTACTGCGTTCTCACGTAAGTATCACATTTTAATCAATTGAAAAATTTGTTATGTTACAAATTGCATTGTTCTGTGCTCTATCAATTAAGCTAACATGGAATTTCTATGTAAATCATATACCTATATTTTATATTTATGCACCTCTGAAATCTATTTAACCTCTCATGCACAATAGAATCAACTATTACATTTGAGTTTATCATTTTTGTTAAATGCTTAATACTTATGCGTCCTGTTGGAAGTGCCATTTCTTATATCTTTAATCTTTAGTGTGGTACTCATATTAAGGAAAAAATAAGATATACAGGTAGTCCTGTAATTACTTCATTATAGACATGTTACATAGACAAATATTGAAATAGGCATGTCTGCCTGGATGTGTTGTATTATAGAGTTATATAATTATACAGAGTAAGCTCTTTAATTAATAATAATAGACGTCATTGTTCTATAAATTAATTGTGTATTGCAATTAATTAATGATGCATATTACAATTTAATAGCAGTAATCATGATTCATGACCATTCGCTTTATATTTTAAACTGTAGATATTTTATGTAATGGTATAAAAAGCCTAATAAGTACTATGTTAGAGGTATATTTAAAAGGCAGTAACATTTGGTTTTCATATTTTAAACATACATTATAAGTTAGTACTTAAGATGTTTTCTCTTTTTATAGTTATGGGTTAAATAATAAGGCTTAATAAATAATAAAGCTATAATAAATAATACATCTCTGTACTAAGAACTGACTTGCATATCTCTAGCTTTGCTATAATCTATTTAAATTTAATACACTATGTTAGTACTCTTGTTATTGTCCTTATATCAGTACATTTATATTAGGTATATTTTATTTATTAAACAATATTGCTATCAAACTATTTTAATAAACAGGGTTTTGTTTTAGAGTTGTAAACTTTTATGGTATCTGCGCTTACGAAAATTATATTTGTTATACATATTTGCTAAATTGCCTTCAAAGTTGAACTTTTAAATGTGAAAAATAATTAGAACTCTTTGGTCTATGTATGGAGAACTCTTAAATAATAATTCTGTCTTTATTTAAGGGCCTTTATTAAACCATATCAAATTTATTAGGGTGTATAAACACTTAGATATATTAACTCATGCTTTCAATGGTACTTAATAGGTATTACAATTTCCTGTAAATATCTCCTTTACGTCTATAAGATTTCCTATAAACAATTATTTTATATAAAGTAATGATATCGGTGAATCATTCAATATAATTGTTAATAAATGGATACTAATAAGTGAGTAGAAAAAATAGGTTAAAAAATCAAGATGGCGGCCGTGAAAGCAGCGGTAATTTTCAGGTTTTCAAAACGATATTTTTATTAACAATATACTTTTTAAATTACTCTAACATTTTTCGTTTCATGATTACAGTTGCGCCAAAAGCTATTGCACAATTCTATAAATAAACTAAAGTTTAAACAAAATTGACATAGCACTATGCAATCTACTTCTTAATGTCTTAAAAATTAAACTTAATAACATTCTTATCTAACATGTTTAATTGCGCGTACTATTGAACTGTAAATTATTATAGCGATTCAAACGTGTATCTTTGGATTCAAAGGTTTTTTACGTACCTACTTACCTACGATGGAATCAAGATTTTTTTGCTTGTATTAAACCATTATGACTTAGCAAATCTTATATCGTGTAGTCATACAGTACAACTGTTAATAAGCCTACAATATACATAGTACAATGGTGTTTCGTGTATTCGTCCTCGTAAGTTGTTTGGGTACAGATCAAGGTGTTTACCAATTACATCTTTAGATACCGTTTGAACTTCGATTACTGCTGAAAAAACCTCCAACCGATAAAGTTAAAGGGATCCTTACATCCGATCCGTCTTTATATATGTAATTATTATTACATATATAAAGACAAACCGACGATACAATATTTTGTATCGTCGGTTTGTGCCGAAAAAAAACCTTTTTAATAAAATTGTTCTTAATCTGCAATTTGTATATTATATCTACGTATAAATAGAGACGGAATGCATCCTAGAAGATACAGACAAACATTTTTTGTCTGTTTTTATATGTAGAACTTATCTAATACCTTCTTTCTTATGTGTAGGTTTATAATTGTTCCATGTACAAGTGCATACATGAAGATAATATTAATGGTATGCTTTATCTCCGTATCGCGTGTAGTGTTATTGAAAATGCTAATAACGGTTGGTCCACTTACAGCTATGTTGGTTTAAAAAAATATATCTTACGATCTTCATCGTACGCTAGCTGTGGCCACGTACTTTGTCCGTGTAGCATAGTTATTTTAAGTTACATTTATTTTTGTAAACCTCCTAATCTCTATAAATTTTATCCGTTACCCACGACGTCGCCCGTGTCATGTCGTTCTTGTAAGTTAATCTTGAAACATCTACTGTCATGGACTTTTTTTTAGATAACATATAAAAGAATCCTTCTTTTATACATGTTTATTTCGGTTTTTTTAACCGGTTACGCAGCTCACGCAACGGAAAGCCACAAAGATATATTTCTTTATTAAAAACAATTTACCTACCTTAATCTACCTTTGATGATGAATAATTTTCCCAATCTTTCCACATTTCCCACTGTTCACTCCTATTGTTCTTAGTGTAATGTTTTATAACGCTAAGCCTTCCTCGATAAATTTTTAAACAGCAACAGTTTCAATTCAAATTCGTAGTTCCTGAGATTTCCGCGTTTAAACAAACAAACTCCTTAACTTTATAATATTAGTATAGATATCTAACGTAAAATTCATGTGACCTGAATTTAAGTAAAAACTATCGAATTGCGCTAGTTATTATCACTGTTGAATAAAAAGCAATCTATAACCAATTTTAGCCAACGAGTTGACGTTTTGGCTTTTCAGTACGTCGGACGTCGGGTCATAGTAGGATTAGCAATTCAATAATATAGTTCGCGACAACTACAGATACTAAAAATATAGTTATAATAAGTATTATGTCTATTTAAATTAACATTATACATCTGAAGCGTAGAGCCAGCCATATACAAAGTGCATTAAATGATATAAATATTTGAAGTATGGTCATAAATATTTTACTCGACATTTCAGCGGGTGAGAGCAGTAAATCATACATGTGTTTGGACTCGCCGCCACCAAGTGGCTTCGAGTCGTCGTCTCAGCAGGCTGGCGGAAATTCGTCTGGTGATCGCCGTGTTTCTTCGCTCAACCCATATTTGGAGGAGAGTCTGCCACCATCGCCGCCACCACCACAGAGCAACATGGTGCTGAGGAAGCGGATACACCGTATCAAGCAGGGGATGAAAAAGTGAGATTACAATTTTAACTATAAAAGAATTACCATTTTGAATCCACTGAGAGTTAAAGATGATTTTATTACGACGAAAATAGTCTTAGCAGTGTTCACAACATCTATTGGTAATTAAAAAGTGGTATATTAAGTTAGCTTGCTTGTATGCTTTGTTATTAAAGATGTTGAGTAATCAGTTAGACCAATTCAAATATATCTGATATGGTCATCGGCCAGAACAAGCTGTGCGAGTTAGTAAAATTATTTTTGCTGATAAGGTCCAAAGCTTGCTTTACCACCTATATATATAATTTCCAATAAACTACATATTGAACTATGGCAATTGTGGCAAAATAGTATGTTTAATAATATGTATGTGACATGAATCTAGACACTTCTTTTGTTCACCTGAACACTTGTGGGCAAACTAAACCGAATTTTTGCTCTATGTACCTTTATATCTTTTATAATTTAAGAAAAGTTAAGTTATGTTTGTTAAAGTTGTTCTTATCCTATAAGAAATTTCTAATAATTTAAAAATCGAAAATAAATTGAAAAAATTTTCGACTCGGGCAGGACTTGAACCGGCATCGTCATGTGCAATAACATGTGAAAAATATTAATGTTTTCAATTTCTAATAAGATATGCTAAATTACTCAATACACAAATTATTCGATTCAAAGCCTAGAAAGAACTATTTCGTACGGACAGGACACTTTATGTCTCTATTGTTCAATGATCAGTCTGTAAAACTACGATTAGACATTAAGAAATGGAATCGATTAAACTATTTTGTAAGCCCGACGAACGTAGAAACAATACATACTACATACATTAAAATATTATCAAAAACGTTACAGATATAACGATCAGCTATCGGCGTTACGCAGCGATCTGCGCAGCTGTAAGCGGAAAACCGCGTTACAACAGAAACAAATCGCGGAACAACAAAAACAAATTGCGGAACAACAGAAGCAGACGCTCGAGTACGCGAATCGTTTGGACGATTACGACAAGAAGAACGAGGAGACGAGCCGAAAATTTCAAACGCTATTGCAGGTTTGTTGATTAGCGCTTTAGTTTTAAAGGTTAGTGTTCATCAGGTGGATACTTGAATTAGTTTTATATTATTTATGGTGATTGATCTCTTGGCTCTTGGCTTGATCTCTAAATTGAAAAAAAAAAACATTACGACACGGGCAGGATTTGAACCGGCATCCACGAGCACGAAACCCTGTGGACACCGAATCAAGTTCTACTCGTGTCTTATTATGTTAAACATTAAATCGATTTTTAATGTATATAGTACCATCTAGTGTTTTTAAATGTTTTCTCTACCACTCGTGTAACAATAATGAAGCTAAAATTTAAAATTGTTTGCGTAATGTGAATGAATAAATATTTTGAGTTTGAATTTTAGAATTTTCATATCGTTCTTAACGACGTTCTGATTCTCTAGCTCTGCTGATCTAGCAGTGAGGAATAAGACTGATATCGAATACATTTTATGTTTATTTTGAATCCCAGAACACAATACTTTCGTTCCTTCTTCAAAAGCCGAATTCAATGGTGTAACTGTAATTTCAGGAGCTAAATAAATGCAAGACGGAGCTGCAATACTGGCGGTCGCGTTCGCCGGCCGTGCCGCCGCTCTGCGCCGAGTGCGGTGCCTCGCTGCGACTCTCGCCCGTCGCACCACTTGCCCAGGTCTGTTGAGAACTTGTTATAAAATAAAACATCTAATTAATAATTTAAGTGGTTGAAATTCATGAAGCGTATTTATGTCTTCAGTGTTTCGTCAGACAATAAGTAATATTGTGTGAAACTCATGGATTGTTATCATAGATAGACTTTGTTTGAATCAGTTTGATGCATTTATATAGCTAAGAATACGTATTTTCTTAAATTTATATAATATTCAATTAAAATAATAAGCTAACAATTGTATCCCATTTTAGGCATTTAATTTTTGGCAACACAATGAAAATATAACAATCAAGTAAATATATACAAAGTGTTTGAAATTGATATATTTTTCTAACTAAAGTAAAAATTACGATTAGGCTTATAACTAAGAAATAAAATAATATAAACACAATAATGTAAAAAGGAGACATTTAGCAAATGTGTCGGTTTACATGTTTTACAGATAGTAACAACTAATAAAATAGCTTTATAGCAGTTTATTTTCCTTCGCCCCAGTAAAGTTTTTCTCTAATTGTATCAGCTGTTTTTATGCTGTGGTAATGCATATTCATAAATCTTTTTAAGGATGACCAGCATCTTTACATGAAAGAGTCCTTAACTTTTTTCTAATTAATTTTTGATTAAAGAAGTCGAAGGCATAAGTATTTTTGTAACCATAATATTTGTAAATTAATAATCTTACATTGTATTGGAACGTTGATTTTAATTGTGTAACTAATTATAATGATGAAGCGTGTTTACATAATTACGATGGTGCTATAATAATTGGTATTATATCACGCGTAACGTACCTACTATTCGGTCTATAGATAGTTGTGTGAAGGAAGTATGTGATGAGAAATACAAAACACAGTTCAATACTTCATTTCTCAGATAAACTTGTCATTAGCAGGACAGGAAAATTGGTGCAAATATTCACACAATCCGTTTTATTATATAACGCGTCCTCTAGCTGCTATTTATAAGTAATAGCTCAGTTCTTTTTGATTGGTATAAACTTTTCAGCGACCTACCTACTTTACGCTTCAAAAGTTCAGTGCCTCATCATTATCTTAAGCTCAAGGGGACGACCTGGGTTAGAATCCTAAGAGAATAAAATTCTAAACATTTGGTCAAAATTTATTCATTTTTGACAAATAGTTATTTTCCATCATGTGACCCAACAATTATACAGCTAAGAGAGTACATTGTAAATTCCAGTGGCCATCCGGATCGAGCGCTGAAGCCAGCGAAGAAACGGCCGGCGGAAGCAAGGAGCCGGTAACCGTGAGCGTGTTGGAAACGCCAACAGAGATCCCTCTCAAGAATGAACATAAGTCGGAAGCCAGTAGCGGTGAGGAAACGGCCGCCAACACACCGCCTACGCGCCGCCGTGCATCCGCCGACGCCGCTTCAGCCACCCCCGACCGCAAAAAGCGACGTTTAACACGCCCGAGGAAACTTTGAAACTAAGAGGTTTGCACCTGGTTGATATTTCGTAATAGCCACAACGGCTGCCGTTGGCTCGCTTAAAAGCGATGGCCCTATGTATCAACTTGATATCAATTATCAGCAAAATGCCGCTCCGGCCCCAAGCGGCCATAACGCGGCGTTAACCCGGAATTAGACGAAAAATATCGGCTATATGACATTGATGTATACAAAGCATTTTGACCTCATACGTGATTGTCAGGGTATCTTGCATATTAATCGAAAAGGTAAGCATTTAAATGCATGCAATGCAGCTTCGTTTCTTTTACTATTTTGTCCAAGTTGAAGCCATTTTTTGGCTCGAAGACCCCAGTTGAAGCAATTACACAATCAGGAGTGAATATTAAGATAAAATGCTATTTTAAAGCTTATTTAAGTTAAGAGAGTTATGAATTATATCTATTCCGTAAAAGTTGCAATTTAGTGTCATTAAAAACAAAGTAGTATTTATGAATATAAAAATTACTTAAAATAAATTGTACAGCATGTATGTGTACAGAATTTTAACTATGTAATGATGGAATATTTTACTTGAACACAAAACCCATAAGTTCTATTTCTCATTTGATCTATGTTTTATTTTCGACTAGATATTATGAGTGCAAACATTTCTCAATATAATTTTATGTTCTTTAAAATGCATAAAAAATATATTACCTGTTTATTTCTTGACGAGCATTCTTTAGAGCTTTATTAAAATTCAGAATTGCTTAATTTTATATAATATATACATTTTACCAAGTGACGACATTCTAGATGGTTCTCCGTTAACTTAATAAATTGTAAATCTTATTAAAAGACATAAATCGTGACAATCTCTGTTATCATATATCGTGGCGTTTGAAGCTTTCATATGAAACTTTGGATTGTTACATATGTAAATAAATCTCATATAATAAAAAGTAATGTACAAACATATAAATACATAATAATTAGAGCTGTATTTTATATTTTTGTGACATGATGGCCAATATTTGGATAGAATGTTGCTAATAGAATAAATTATTTTCAGTACATTGCGTGTTTAAAAGGGTCACTCGTAGGGCTTCACACAAGTTTTGCATCATGTCACACTAACACTTTGTACCACGTTATGTAACGCCGTTACAGTACCATAACGTTGACATTTCACCAAAATTTAAGTTTGCTTTAGTTACCCTTATAGCTTGCAAGTTTACAAACAGAACGCACAATAATATATTAATTTAATTAAATGTTTTAGTTAATTGTTAATATTAATTTAGCTTGCATGTGTATCTTTTTAAATGGATTGTTGAAATTATGTTTTGCCTTTAAGTGTGTATTAGTGATCCCCAATATCTACAATCATAGAGGTGCTGACTAAACAAAAAATAATACAGACAGACAAATTATGTCCTATACTTATGTCTCTGAAGACGATGTAACGTTCAAAGTTAATTAATATCTAACAACAAAAACTCAAATAATGTACCATTTTGCAATAGAGGAAATCTCATATATTGAACACAGTGGCTTTAAATTATTCCGCGGATAAATTGCTGCCCGAGTTTTATCAAGAGTAAGTAGATCGTGCTAACAATAGGAAGAATATTTCACGACACATATACATCTAACCGAACAATCTGAAATGGGGTCCTGTATCCCACTAAATGAATCGGTTTCTCTGCTCTAACTATGAGAATTGATACTGACAAGACAATTCCGGTATCGATGATGTAATTATGGTAGTCTTTTGTATATAATCACTGTACATACGATGTGTGTAGAATTGTAGATCGCTTCAGTGTTAGCGAAATAAGTCAATACAAAATATAATACAGAATTGTTAATAGTTTGTATATTTTTCTAATGTTTTCAGATGTTGGTAGTCTAGCTACACAAATTCTTTTTAGTGCAATTATATAATTATGAAAAACGTACGCTTCACTTATAATGTTTGTTTCAGTATTTTCTTTTTACACATTCTATATTTTCAGATAAGAGCTATCAAAGTACATATATGCGACATATATTTTTTGAACATTATTATTCGATCGGCCTAGTGGAATTTTGGCTATGTGCTTCTTGTGAATTGGGATTTATTTGACCAACACTCGCTTCAACCATCAACAATACAACATCGTAATGTGAGTGGCCTCGAAAGTTTTGAATTACCTTAATACAAATTGCGCCGCTTGTGTTGAAATAACATCAAGCAGATTCAATAATATGTCTGCCCCAAGCCCCGTGTAGCACATGGGACTTATATTAAATTCTATCGTTTGCGTTATGTTCTTGTATTGTTGATTGATAAAGCCAAATTCCCGGATCGTATAAATTCACAGACGATCTTGTACCAAAAATGGCACTAAGAGGTTCCAAAACATGACTTTGCATATGATTCCTCCATCTGTATAATTTATATAGAAAAGGTTTCAAATGATTTAGCTTATATTATTATAATAATTTAGCCAATTATAGTTTTACTTATACGCTGTAAATAGACATAGGTTTAAGTAGTGTTTTTTTTTAACCGAACCCATATCTGTCATAAATGTATTCCAAATATTATATTTATTTTGTCACGTTTTGACTTGATAAGTAATTCGGTCTTTCTTCGTCAGTGTAACGTTTACGATTCTGTAATGTGAACGTATTGTAGAATTTTACTGAACTGTGACACTTGTAAATTAAGATGTACTTGTTAAAGAATGTCGTGCCTAAATCGATTTAGTACTTAACGCTGCTGCACAATAAGGTGAATTTAAAATTGAAAATTCTAGAACAACTGTTATTCTTAAGAGTGTCTACTGAAACGCTTATTTGGAAATTGTTTCAATAGTGCAATACATAAATCCATTGAATGGTAAATGATTTGGCGGTTTTTATGGATATTTTAACGAGAGAAGCGTAAGTTAGGGGCTAGTGTCGTTCATAAAGAGTTTCTAAAGTGCGCGGGAACATGGCCAAGACGCTGAGCTGCTGATGCGACCAGCAAGACTGTCAATTGGTGTAGATATCCTTTATGATATGATAGTAATTATATGATAGTATTTTTATTAGACAAAATACAATAAATGTGTGAAGTCCACTGATTTGTTTCATTATTATTCATTTCTACCTATTAATATCTCTATGCTGGCCACAGAGGTTGGCTAAAATGACTTGGGCCCTGAGAGGGTTTTATCGACTACCGCCACTAAATTAATGGTAGTAACCGGGACCGGGCTGAATGTTTTTCAAAATTTTATTGTTTATTAGGATATTCGGAAACCCACAGACTAAAACCGTAACACAATTAAACCGGACGGTATATTGATATTGCTACCACACATTTAATATCGAGATTTCCAGACGAAGTCCAAACTTGTTTCAGAAAATTTTTGAAAAATGTTGGGCCCGTTGGTGGGGTTATCCACTAGCCACGCATTGCTACCATTACACCAACGAGCCCGTAATGCCGCAGTAAATGCGTACGAGTCGAAACCGTGAACACAAAATGAAAAGCCGTAACCTCTACCTACTTTCAGTCATGTATACACGGCAACACAACAATCACAGGAAATCGTTTTACCTTCCTTTGCGTTTCGGTTACGAAAAGGCCCAGATGGCGCGGTAAGGTTAAGACGCGAGGGTAAACTAACCAGCAAGATTTTTTAGTTTATATACATAGACATATACTTACTACCACAGACATTTTTTAGATTTTTAAAATCGAACCAATAGTTTCTGAGATCGGCGCGTTCAAACGAACAACCTTTTTAGATCTATAATATTAGTATAGGTATGTACAGATGTTATAAGACAAATGGTATGAAAAGTTATATTAAGATTAACTTTCAAAGATAACTCGGAGGAAGTTCCTGATTTGCATTGCATTAGGAGGAAATACAATATTATTTACATGTCCAAACACATATTTGCTCAACAATAAGTCCTAAGACTTCCCAAAAATAAAGATTTAATTATTTTAAAATTTGGTTAAAGACATTTTAAATTACTTAACGCAAGTAGGTACACAATAAATAACACTAATGTATCTACAAAATGTTTTATAAAATTAATAAAATGTAAATACAGAAATGTGATAACACGATTCATAACCGATGTGTTAAATACTGTCTATAGTTTACGCGAGTAGTACACATTTAAATAAAACACTTAAGGTTTAAAACAAGTTTAACTAATGTATCGCGTTTTAAACCGTTAAAGTGTTTTATTTAAACCGATGTGTTTTTAAAATTACTAGGTAGTAAACCTAGTTGAACGTTAAAGTTTTATAAACTGCACCAGGAAAGTTATGGAAATTGTATAGAATTTACTTCCATTTACTTCTAAAAGACAATACAAACAGGGAAATAGGCAGAAAACGTTATAATTACTTATTTGTGCAACTAAATTAATGATTTGCATATTTAAATATGTTTATAGAGCACAATTAATATTGTTTTTCCTGATAGTTGTTAAAATAGTTCTGTCCGAGTACAATTTCGAAACATTCGTTTTCGAAATATCTTATGTAAGAAAATTTGAAATCGTTTTAAGAAACAAGAAAGACCAAAAATTTAAAAGGTAACAAGTAATTTGTTTCAAAAAAGGCGAGATAAAGAAATTGGAAGAACAATTTTAGGCGCTCAGGTAATTCTTAAGAGAGCAAATCCACACGAAATTGTAATAAACTTTTGGTTTCTAACTACACAGCTTCGTTTGCTTGTTGAAAATGGAGGTAGGAGTATAATAGTAATACCGCTATAACAAAAAAACACTTTTAACAGTTTAAAACGCAAAATGTTACCTTTTTTAAACTTCTTATGTCTGTAATTTATTTTAGTTCTAGTTTAAAACTGATCGGTTTTGCCAACAATATTTTATTAATAGCGTCTTTATATTAAACGTAAATAAAGAACAACCTAACGCACATCAGCATTTACAAAAGTATGGAATTATCATGGTATTGCGTATAGTTCACGCGAATAGTAAACATCTGAAAATCATAAGAAACGTAGGATTGTAGTTAAAAATATGTAAACTGATACATGTCGCGTTTTAAACCGTTAAAAAGTGTCTTATTTAAATGATAATATAGTGTCAAGTTAGCAAGATGTAAAAATTTTACGTCGATCACACCTGTCGTAAGCGGACAGGGTGTATAAACTTATATACCTGGGAATCAGCTGTTGTCTCACAGTTGGTCGCTGCCCGTTATGATGCGCGCTTTGATTGTCATTCGCTACTCTAACATGTGAAAATATCAACAATAATTACGAACAATTGAAACTCAGCAGTGCGTGAAAAATGGATTTGGTTGTTAGGATATTTCTCTTAGTTCCTGTTTTGATTGGTGAGTATTTTTCATCGCGCTATTATTAAATATTAATAAGTTAATCAATAGTGTTAGTTACTGGGAATATCTATAGGGCTATTCTTAAAGACTTAAAAGTAATGAGGATAGTACTACAAATGATATAGTGTGTGTTTATAAATGGGAGAAAGTGCATTGCTTACGCGTTGCAAAATATTTGGGTCGCTCGATGCTTAAACTTAGTCGATCTCAAGTTCGTTGCAAAAATATTTCTCTTCTACTTTGCATTGATTAGGTAAAGAAGAAAGGTTTAGCTCATAATATTTGTTAGTTATCTTCTTGTGAGGTTTTCGTACTTTAATAATTGTTTACACTGAACAAAATGCATATCTTTCTTTGATAGTAGATACCGATATTTCCTATTTGAAAGTTTTAGTCGCTCTAAGCTCGAATAAAAAGGCTGTTGTTACGAACGAAATTGCAGTTTTGTTTATTTTCTTAGATGTCCGCTCATACTAGTATTATTATTTCCCTTATTAATTGATGGTATCATTAAAAAGCTAAAGCTCGCGATGCTATTTTTTATTATTACAAAATTGGCATGTGCACGTAACACAGATTTTAAACAAACGATGAACGAGATTAGTCATGCAACTTTATCGTTCTAACTACGAATAATGTCAATATAACATATTTAATATATTAATATTGCTACTTTAGGATAATAATTCGGTATTTTTTTTTTAATATTTTCGAAATGATATCGATAAGTCGACGGATGTAAAAATGTTTCTTATTATAGCCTCACACTTATTTTATTAAAATTTAAATGAACCGCCATTTTATGATACAATTTTGTTAAAAATGTAACCAAACGAAATGACCTTCATAGTGCATTACCCTGCGAATTTTACCGACATTTTTCTTTATTCGCTCTAATAATTTTGTTCTTAGGCCTCTGATTAGACAGAGAATATTTGAATTGCGCAAAATTGTGACATTAAAAAAACGAAAAACCAGCAAACCTATTAGCATAGTATGATCTCATTGTCAAATCAAGATTTTTCTTATGGTAATTTTGTTGTGAATTTAAACCAGATTACATTTTTTACTTTACTGACAAAATTAATTAATTACCTCATTACTGTTCACAGGTGTTTGAGTTCCTATCTAATGAGATCATAAATACTGCTTTGACCTATAATAATTAGCTTGATAATTATAGTGTACAAAATTAATCTTTTCTATGTGTTCTTATTGACGCTACAACTTAAAAAAAATATATAATGTGTGTCTTATAGTATAGTGTTTTTATGAGATTTATTTGTATAAATCTCAAATAATAATCCTAAATTCTCATAAATAAATTCAATGCTACTAAAGTAATATTGGAAATCCTTTTCTTTCGAAAGATTACGATTATAAACATGCCCATTTCTTCACTTCATAGTAAAAAACAAAGTCGCTTTTTCTGTCCCTATGTTCGCTTAAATCTTTAAAACTACGGAACGGATTTTGAAGCGGGGTTTTTTAATACATAGAGTGATTCAAGAGGAAGGTTTTTGTATACAACGTTTACGGTTTTTCGTAGTGTATTTAGTACCAGCTTTGCACCTGAGCGAAGCCGGGGCGGGTCGCTAGTCTCGCTATAAGATGTAGTTACTGGATCTAGATACTCCTAGTTTCCTGTATAAATTGAGGATAATATTAAATAAATATAATATGTAGTTTAGGGCTCCGTCATCTTTGCAAGGCTTACTCAGCCTTTTATCTATTTCCAAAGAACCGCTGGTCATTGAGGACACTCCACATTAGTGGAAATGCTTAAGTCTTTATCATGTCTTAAGCACCACTTACCAGCTGCGTACGTAATGAAGAAATGACTAACTGCGTTGCAATATAATTAGAATTACAAAAAGCATTAATGAGAACTAAGTGCTACTAGAAGTAAAAAAGAAGAAGAAGACTAATAAGCCCAATATTGCTTTTTTTCTACAAAAGAAGTTTTTATATAATGTCAATTTTATAACTTTATGCATCAGAAGGCGATTATGCAACTTCTAACATAGAAAATATTAGTGTAGAATAAAACATCTTTGAACGGTTTAAACAGCGATCTGTATTAGTTCATTAACCCATGACGGCTACTGTAGGCCATCGGACACGTCGATTTGAGAATGTAGCTCAAAATAATTAATCATTCTAGTTTGCATTTTAAACCGTCACTTAATTTTATTTACCCATTATGAACTTGATATAATAAACCTGATATGTGTCACCGGCAACAGGTATAATGAGCTCGCTACTTCCTTAAAGTTTGAACTATAGCGTTGCATAAGAGATACTAGATAGAAACCTAGGGTTTTAAGTGAAATCTAGACCACTATACGTAGGCCATTATTACAGAAAATCTACAAGCTTTCTACCTATAAGTACAACTATGCATTAGCTTAGGTACTGGTGTAAAGAAAGGCACAGTGAAAACTCGTTAGTATTCCAATTTGAAGATTAACTAGACTTGTTATTTGCAAGATTAATATTACTATGATAATAGGAATCTGAAAAATAATGCATTATTGTATTATAAACTTGATTACCATAAAAAAGTTTCTTGAGAGTGAAATAGACATAAAATGTTCACGACATTTCTTTGGAACATTTAAAGAGAAATCTCGCACATATGTCTTAGTTTTCCCACCATTTTCGCAGCTCAAAGATGAATATTTTTTTGGAAAAAAACGTATATAGCCTAAAGCCTTCCTTGATAATTCGTTAATAATCTTCCTTAATAAACAAAAATATTATTCAATTCGACTCAGTAGTTCCGGAGATCAGCGCCTTTAAATAAAAAAATCTTTAGCTATATATTAGTTTAATTTACAAATAAGAAGAGAGTTGAACTTTCAATAAGAATTGGTAAGAAAGTAGCCTGAAGTCTTTTTATTTCCAAATTTAAAAGTCTTCAACGCCCTAAAAACATGCTTTATAAAAAATGGAAGCAGCTACTATTCGCTTAGCGTTATTTATTAAAGCAGATTTTCCTTTTCAATGAAAAATAAAAAATGACCTATAATAAATATGGTTAAGAAATGAATTCATAACTATAATTTATTGTAAAATCGAAGATAGTGTACGGTCACTGATCACGATATCTTTTGTTTTTTTAGCGATCCGACACTTGCAAATGTCGTGACAATACTTTTTGTTCGTGACCACGATCCGGTTGTTAGAATTAGAAAAAGCTAAAATCATTTAAAGATAATTATTTAAACTACATAGAAATAGTCATTAAGTTACTTTTTCTATTTATGAAACAACAACAAAGTAATTTAACAGCAATATTTAAATTATGTTTTGTCATAAGACCTAATTTGTTAAACACTTTGTTTTTTTACTCCACTTTTTAAAAGTAGTTGATCAGATTTTATTTTATTTTCTCATAAAACTGTTTATTTCATCCCCTGGAACTCATGAATGGGAGCCATGGAGGCGGTAAACTTATTCAATAGTCATTTAACCTGCTATTTTAGTATCCCACAGCTGGGCACAGGCCTTCTCTCATATCTCACGAAAGAGAGTATTTTAAAAGCTTTGACCATTGCTTCAGTGCCTTAGCTTGCAGGCTCGCCACTAAGAAAGTTACCATTCTCTTCTACGAAAGTTTTTCTTAAATCCGAAATATGCCTTAAACAATTCCGAACCCGGGACCTCCTGATCTAAGGTCCAGTTACTTGCCAGTAAACTAACGGGGCATTTAATAAATACAAATACATCATGTCTCATTGTTAATGTGACAGAACAATAAAGTAAAATAGGTACCAACGTGTTAACTTTTTTCTTGTGTTATATAACCGTTGATTCATGTGAAACATAAAAAATAAAAATCTATCAAGCAGGCTGCCATAAAATATTCTGAAATGTATATTCTACTTAGAATGGACAGTTGTCCAATCAGAAACGGATACCTGGAAATGATAAGTGGTCTCGTTCTATTGAATAATGCAGGTGGCTGTTTCGTGGCCGTCGCGTGTATCTATTATATCTGTATATTCGAAGAGAAACATTTCTAATTCTTCAAAGTTACCTTCTAAACACTTTCAATCAAATTTTCAGAGATAACTTATGTATGATAACAATGAAAATTCAGATTTTTTTTTAATAGGCTGTTTGGTAAACGATTTAGTAGTAGTTCTTGGGCTGTGGTTTCGAATTCCGCCTATGTAATCTTTTAACCTAAAATAATTTAAATATTTAACTTATGAAAATTCCTACCATGTTTCATTTACGCGTACATGCAAAACTAGTTCAAGTCAATCCTCTTTTGTTTTCATTTAATGATGTTGTCGCAATATTCTAGCAAATAGCTATAGGTAAACCGTAAAACTTTAATTCGATCCCGTAACCATAGTTTGTCTATACTTTAGTTTGCCAAATACTAGCTGTTTCATTATTATAATACCTATAAAATAAATAAGTTTTTTAGATGAATTATCTATTGTTAACTGGGAACACATGTCTTACTTGATTACAAAGATTGCATTAAACAAGCAAAAATTTTGGCGGTACGTTTTTTAAGTGGCTGTTTTGGTGGCAAATTAATGTACGAACAATGTAAGACCTTCTAAGGATTTTTCACACTGTAACGTGATAATGGCAAACAATCGTGCTTCAAATCGCTTCTTTAGTTAAAATTGTTCACGGTGACGTAAGGACAATTATTTTATGCTAATGTTAAGAACCAACTTTGACAAGAAAGATTGATATTGATTACTAAAGTTATCGGTAGACAGTGTAAAAATTCGTAATTATTTCTTTTTCTATACAAAAATCACATAGAAAGTAAGAGTTAACCAATGTCATTATTTCTTGTTGTGTACTTTCACGTTAATTTCGAAGTTTCTTGCGCCGCAAACAAAACAACAAAATCAAGAATGCTAAAAAAGAGAGCTATTTGTCTGTATACTACCTTATGTAATGTATACGGGTAACTAAGTTAAAGATAAATATAATGGTAATTAACTCCCAAAACATTTCTACAAACTAAACTTACACAACATCTTATAATGTATTCAGTAGAAAGTGTGGGACCTGATCGTGTTTTTGGGCTGTTTCCGGTCAATCCTGATCCTATCATGCTGCCAGCAGAAAAAAAAAATGAATTTATTATATTCAAAGTTACACGAGTTCATTGTCAATAATAATTTCCACTTCATGTTCCGACGCCATGCCAAGATAGTGTTTGTAGTAATTTGGCAGAGGTGTCCGTACATTACATCCCGTTCAAATGCATATTTGGATCGTCATCTTGGATTGATCGCCAGCGTCTAATCAACATTATGATTACGATTTATGCATTAATAAAAATAATAAAATAAAAACTATTTATTTAGGTGTCAATTTGTGTCAATCAAGTTTTCATTCGAGAACACAAGTATGTGAACAACAGGTACCTCTATTGTGTTCCGTCCAGGGAGATTGCTCCCATCCACATTGTAGTGTCCAAGCTGAGGCCGATGCCCCCCCTTGACGGCCCCGGGCCAAAATACACAATAATGACAAAAAGTTGTATTTCTCACAGAATGACTTAAGTAAAGTTGAAATCTATAATTTCAAAATTCAAATTTTCCACGCGACCTATGACGGTGGCAAAGCTAGTAATTCATAAAGGTGAAGGAAGGTATGCAAAAACAAATTTTGATGTCCAATTAATTATACGCGTACGAAGTCCCTAGCACGGCTAGTAGCTAGTGTAGTTATGAAAATTACCTTTCGTTTCGACTTCGGCCGCAATAAATTTAGGGCAGTATTAATACAATAGGCAAATGAAAACGTAAAAAATTATTACGCCTTGAGCCGTTAAACAAGGTAATAGACAACGTGCTTTACAAGGTAATTTATCTTGTGACTCCATCAAATTTGGGCATCATGATATTATTTCATAACTTTTTGTGTGCATCGAAACCTGTTTTGACGAGGCATCTTAACCTGAATCACATTTTAAAATTACGACAATGAGAATGAGGACAACAAAATGCTAAGCGACATTTCATATGATATGACCGCTCTATAAGGCTATGGATTGCATAAAATAATGCTAAACAGGCAAATTAAATGTTTTACAAAACTGCAAAACAAATACGCTAACACGTTTCTTTGGAACCTACTTTATTCAGCTTAAATAAATAAATAATATTGTCTTATTTTAAGACGTTTGTTTAATTGGTAATTATAAATTTTGACTTTATTTATTTAAAAACGGATTTTTCGAATTAATCTTAAAAGATGTACTATAATGTACTATCACGAAATTTTTTTCAGGTGATTCAAAAATGCTTTAATGCATATATTTTGGGTTTTTGCGCAAGCGCAAGCTTCAAACCCCTCAGAGATGTATAATTTCAATAATTTTCTCCGTTTTTTCCCCATTTTCCTCTCTTTTTTGATGCTTTTGGGTCGTGAAGCGTGATATTATATAGGCTTCCTTGACAAATGGTCTATCCAACACAATTTCTTAATTCGAAGCAGTAGTTACCGAGATTAACGCGTTTCAACAAACAAACTGTTCGGCTTTACAATGTTAAGTTTAGATAACAACAGTGATTTACTAAGTAACATAGTATGTATGTAATAGATGTAATATAAATCTTTTGTATACAACTGAGCGGACACTTGCAAAAGATTATAATCAAAGTTTCTCACAGCAAAAAGGTGAACACTGAACGTAAATTACGTAGTTATGGAATAATTTGCAATACTATACTAAAACACGTGTAATAAATATCATATATTTTCCTACGACGCAGAATGCAACGATTATAATAGACAGGAATCGATAAACTTCCTTACCGGGGAAAGTAATTTGCATAAAAGCCTACTTTAATTTGCGAACCAATTATAGCATAATTATGCTGGCACATTGCTGTTTAATTATAATTCTCTAATCATAATGATAGCAAATGCTACCATCAAATGATATTAGCGCTTACAAACTTTTCAGCGTTGTAATATTAGTATAGATATTGGAACAAATGCTCGCTAATGCATATCGTCGCATTTTTAGTTGTCGTTTTCCTTCCGATCTTTTCCGTCATTCGCCAGCATATGCCAAATCAAGTATGGAAAAATATTATTAGTGCACGGCTGGGTATCAACACACGAACGAGAGTCAGGTATCTTATGATTGCACTAACACAGCTCTCATATTAGATATACATACAAGAAATATTAGCACTCTGATTTCATGTTGTAGATAACATTTTAATGAGATTCCGGTGTACTTTATTGAATACAATGAATACAAACTACATGTATTTGAAATATTACGTAGTTATGCGATTATTACACTAGTTGGACATTGTTATAGGGCTCGTTCGCTGAAGACGCATTCTTATCTCGTGCAATTATAGTAATTTTGTATAATAATGTTCTGTAGGTCATTTTCCATAGCCTGCTTACATTTTCACAATTTTCCATTTGGAAAATTCTAATACATAAGCATCCTCTCTGTCTGATGTTATAAAATTATAGTCATATGTCACATAATATGTTCCGATCCATACTAATAGGGTCGTCAGCGCATTTTTCGATATTATATTGCTGGGGTATTTCACCTCATACAGTGAAAAAATGTTTGTCTGTCCTCCTCTAACATAAAAAAAAGGTTTCGCCAATTTAAATATTGCTGATAAGCTTTTAGAAGATTCTGCTAGTAGTGCTTTTGATAGTAGATAATTAAACTATGTTATACTTATGTACATAAAGTATGTTTAGCTCTAGTAATTTAGTGTTAATTTCCAATTTAAATTATTTTTTTATTGTATAATTTAATTTTTTATGTTGAATTTTGATTGTTTACTAAAATTATCTTTTTTATTTCTTATTTCTACATGCAAAGGTTGCCGGGAAGAAATCGCCATAGGCGATAAGGCCGCCTTTGCACAAACATGTTTTATTTTGTATATTTAATTCTATGTATTCATGTTCTTACGTCTATGTTTGTGCAATTTATTATGTTTGTGTTTTGGTTTTTTAATTATATATTAATACTATTTTTATAGAATCGCGGCTAGCAAGTGCTGAGGATTTTGGTTATGACGGATCAATTGGTAAGTGCAAATTTTAATCATTTTAAAAACCGTTCTCTTAGTGTAAGGAACAACGGTAGTGGAACGATGTATGGCTGAGAATTAATGGGTCGTTGGTTCGATTCCCATCTGGTCTAACGTATTTGAAACTAGTTTTCTGACTTCCTAAATTCTTTTTGCGGGGGCCCGGGGGGGCCGGCCCCCCCCGGCCCCCCCCCCCCCAAAAAACCCCCCGGGAAAAAAAAAATTTTTTTTATAAAATTTAAAAAAAATTTTTTTTTTTAAAATTTGTTTTTATTTAAATGTGTACTATTCGCGTAAACTATAGACAGTATTTTCCTAAAGACTTCCTGTTGGATCTCGTCAAGAAAGTCTAGACATTAAACGGTACACATTCCACCATTTGAACACTATGCTTGCGTCCCATAAAAATAGGTATATATAAATATTGTTCGCAGCGCATGGTGTGCATATCAACATTTAACACGTGTGTACCCATTATATCGAGTAGTTTATTAATTGTACGTAATTAAAAGTTTTTATATACTACCATTAAAGTGACTAATGTTGGATTCTGTGAATCTACCTAGTTATAAGTAATTAAATTAAAATAAATTTATGTATGCACCATAATTAATGGTTATGAAGTTCATGGTTTATCTTTTGGTGTATTCTTGGTATAGTTTGTCTTTATATTCATTTCAGGACCGACCTACTGGGGAGATAGATACCAGGAATGTAGAGGAAAACACCAGAGCCCAATAAACATTAACGTCTTACGCGTGAAGCAGGTCGCGTTACCAGACATTAGTTTCGTAGGCTTTGATGACCCCATTGATAATGTACATGTCACAAATAACGGACACACAGGTATGATATGTAGCGAATTAGTACATAGACATATTTCTACATCCGTTGGACTTTGGACAAGTATGGCTGTTTTTACAAAAAACTTTTAAACTGAAATAGATACACATAGCACATTAGGGTAAAAGAATCCAGCCTTATTCCACCTTTTTCAACTCCATTCTTATCTATTTCTTTCATAAAATTGATGGTTACCAGGATACAAACGCTTACCGTTTAATGTAGGAATATAGAAATTCCGTCCGGGGTCACGAGCCACCGTCTATAGATGAAAAAGCCGTGAAGCTTTATCGCGCTTTAGTATGTGGATTTCCGAATATTTAAAGCCCAAAAGCACACACACTCAGACAGCTCGTCTTGATTAGATGCTATAGGCTGGGATATATCACGTACCATCAAGAGAACCCCATGCCATGTTTGTCCTCTTACATCATAAAAATATGTAACCCAACGTAAAACATTACTAAAAATAACTTGCCGAACCGCTTAACTCTTCTAATTTTTGCCCGGGATTCGATCCCACCAGTTTTCGTTCTTTACATTATGCAAATCACGTAGATATTTCAGTTTACGTGAGTACATTTTCACAGATACTATCTATCTGTCTGTACCATTTTGTAGTGCTTATGATTGTACTGTAAAGGAAGTCTCTGCAATTATTTTTCTCATTAAAGCACAAAGTGCAAGATCCGTAACAGGTTTAATTGTGCCAATTTAAATGGTATATATGAGGGTATTACGAGGATGTGCAATTTAATTATTATTTTATAATTGATTTAAAGTTGGCGAAGTGTGTTGTTCGTTTTATATAGTAATTACCTACGCCCGCTTTACTTCAATTACTTCGTCCGCATGGAATAGTTATTTTGGCCATCAACCTCCTCAGCCATATAAAAGTTGTTACCGACGACGCCGCGGCGTCTCGACGTTCTTGCGAGTTAATCTTAAGAGATGTAATAGATAAACGTATAATGTCGCGGACAATGATTTAGATCATTTTTAAAAAAATCATGCCTTCAAATATATTGTGGTTTCTTGAATCGTTTTCGCAGCGCACGCACTGAAACCCTCGAAGATGTATTTTTTCTTCTATTGGTCGCAGTTTGATGTTTTATTACCTAAAAGCCTTCATGTATAAAAAAGAAACAGCAGTGAGTGAGTGAGTGTGAGTTTAGCGCTGTCAAAAAACAACCTCTTCAGCTTTATAATATTAGTATCGATAAATTGTTTTTCTTCAACAGTATTAATTGAAGTGGAAAACGAACCGCATCCTCGAGTGAGTGGAGGGCCACTCGAAGGGAATTACGTGTTCAGTCAAATGCATTTCCACTGGGGCGACAATGACACCTTAGGTTCTGAGGACAAGATCAACCACAGGAGGTATTCAATTACTTATCATTTTTTTGTGACCGTGTCTACCGAGGCCATAGCCATAGTATTTTACATCAGATAGGTTGACCGCCTCTACATCCAAATGGTTAATGATGTTGCCTAGTATCGCTTTAAGCGCGAGAGGTCTTGGGTTTGAATCCCGGGAAAACAATAGATTGTTTCGGGCAGCAGGCCACACAAGTCTAATCAACTACTTGCTTAAAGCAATGTTGTAATAAAAGCGTTCATTGAAACAGATACAGAAATGTATTCTCCCCATGCCCCACTCGGGTATTCGGGAATTGTCTTAATAGATTTATTTCGTGTTTCAATTCTCTTCATTCTCTACAGCGGCGATACTTGTACGTCAAGAGGCCAGCATTTTTTTAAAGAAAAGACTTTGTTATTCAATAAACTATTAATTAATCTCGTCTATTTGTACTATTCGTATAACGAGTCCGCTAAGCCAGGTTATCACTTATTTACTGGCGGTAGTCGTTAAAGCCAACCCACACGGAAACAGCGTGGTGGGTCTAGAAACACCCTTTTCTATATGAGAGGAGCTTTTTGACCAGCAATGGATAAGTTGCAATTATATTTAATATCTGCTATTCTCGCTTTTTTTATTATTTTAATCCAACTTTTAAATAATCTAATTTGAAATAATTACTATGATACTGTGGCAGCTGTGTAACTAACTGAAACACTACAAGCGTTCTTTTCATTCAAATATATGTACTATATAACCCAATGTATCTTTTCAGCTTTCCAATGGAGTTACACATGGTGTTCTACAAAGAAGAGTACAAAACTGTAAAAAATGCTGTAACACACGCAGATGGTCTAACCGTGCTCGCGTTTTTCTACGAGGTTGGTATTTTCCTGTTTAGTGAACGAACAATTAATGCATTTTGCGGTTTAAGTGCAAAAACCAAGAATTTGAGTTAATTGCACCTATTTAGGTATAAAACTATAGGTTCTTTATTCTTTTTTTACATGCATTGTATAAAGTATGTAAATAATTAAAAATTAATCGCCTTAATGTGAGTAAGTACCTAAACAAGTTGAATACGTGCCATACGACTATACTAAATGTGCATAATATTTTTAATATATTCATTAAATATACTGTAATTTTTTGTATAGTGATTGCTTAAATCTCGCCGTGTCAATATTTCATTAGATCTACAATAAAAAACTTAAAACGACAACACAAGTTAGTCCATAACTTAGCCATACAAAGAATATGAACCTAGACCCTTGTGAAGACCTATGTTGTTAAGAGAAACGATGATTATAAAGTCATTTATTGCCTATCACTTGTTCGTGACTGAATTGTGATCAGTGTATCGCAGATTCCTAATACGTGGTTTTATTTTAATTTGATAAGCGTTATTTGCACCGATTGACTGAGCAATTCTCAGTAAAATAAACGTGTTTTGGACAACGGCAGATCGAAGGGGGGAAGCCTTATGGGGTCATAATGCATGAACACATTGATTTTATTTACAAATTATTATATTTCTTATAAGTCTACAGTTAAGAATGAATATTATTCAGATATTTTTACTTTTATCTATTGTTATATATGCCTCCTGGCACCAGAGCTGGATCCGCCTTTGGTTTTGGATTTATTACTGAATCTTTTTTTATTTCTATCACAATATATGTATATATGGCATAGTATAGATATTTTTTTGGAGGACAAATATAATGATGGAAGGGGAATACCCCAGCCATGTTGCAGCACGATGCGCTGTTACGTACTTATGGTCCCAATTTTATGACCTGAAAGGAATTTTCTATATTCCTACCACCAGTTAATACCCAAATCTCCAGACCATGACCAAAATTGTAAATATAATTATAATATAATTGATTAGAAACATGTTGATCAATCCGTCATATGTAATATATCTTATACAATTCCAGTTGGATCGTCACCAACATCCCGCATATGATGACATCACATCAGCGTTGGGCAACGTGACAGATCCACACTCAAGCGTGGTTATGAAGAAGCCATTTTCGTTCTTAAACATTCTGCCCTACGATTTAAGAAGATATTTCACGTATAGGGGATCGCTCACAACGCCACCGTGCTCTGAAGTTGTGATTTGGTTGGACTTCGAACAACCAGTTAGATTAACTCACGATCAGGTACCTCCAAATTTTGCGTAAAATTTAAGAGGTTGCTAAAGGCAGAGTGGCTTAATAACAAAAAACATGATTTTCCATAGAGAAAATCAAAATGCGCAGTTAACTTTGACGAAAATTTGTGTAAGAATTATGTTAACTGATTTCGGTCACTGTGCCCTTGTATATTTCCATTTTGAGACTTTAAAAATATAAATAAGCCAAGCCATAAAAATGGAGTTAGGCTACTTTGCCTCTAGTGGCATTTAAAATTTAAGAAACATATTGTTATATGTTTTCGTCCCAGCAGTTTACACATTACTTTTTGTTTACTGAATTAAATGAGGAATTATTATTTCTAAGATACGAATTACTTTAGCTAATAAATGACAGACATATGTATTAATATGTATACATCATTACAGATAGAAGTATTCAGAGAGCTACGATCAGCGAGTGGCAAAATCAGACACAACTTTAGACCAATTCAGCCAATCGGTGATAGAACTGTATTCTACAATATCGACAGCAACTATTACACTTATAATGAGATTGATGATCCTGATAGAGAACCGGAGTGGCCACAGAAAAGGAAAGGCCGAAACAGTGCCAGTGTGACTAGCTCTTGTATTACACTAATTATAATTATCGAAGTATTAATAGCATATGTAGATAAAATTCATTATTAGGACTCACTTTGGCTCTTAGAAAAAGAAGTTTTTTTTTATAGAAGTATTAGGTATTCATTTTTAGTCATCTAGGCTACAAATAATCTATTGATTCCGGAGGAGCTGTTAGACAAATGTATAATGTGTAACCGAACTATACAGTCCTACTAAAATATGATGAGATTAAAAATGTATAAAACTTCATATACATTTAAAGATATGTGAATTAGCTAAACTAAGATATACTTATTTATTTGTTATTACTTGTACCAAGCTGACATGTAATAAAACTAGTAATTGTAGGCGATTTATGACTTATTGAATTGAGTCAATATAAGGTTAAATAGTATCTAGCGTTATATAAGTAACTATAATTAAATGCGAGATTTCAATTCTATATCAATTGTAGATGTGTCACACCTCGCAATTATTATTAGATAAATAATCTTATATGGCAGGTAAGACTAGGCGACAACTATTCGAAAGACTAAATTAATGCTAATTAATTTAGTTGTGGTCGGAAATTTATAGGAAATCTGTGATATTGTTTTGTTAGTAAGACAACAAATAAAAGGATCATCAAAAATATTTCTGTATTTCTTATTTGTCCTTATGTGTAGTTTATTTACTTATTTCAATCATCTTGTGGTATCCTATTATCCGGCATAGTAAGCATTGCTCCTAAATTATCTTCTGTTCCATTCTTAAGCCTCTCCCAAATCAACTCTGCGATTGCCTTTTGTGTTCTCCTTTCCAACTTCTCTAACTTTTTTGCCACATCTCTCTTTAGATCCCAATCTGGCTTGCGAGGTGCTAGAGATGCTATGTCTAAGTCTTGTAATATTACCTGTAAAATAGAGAGTTTTCAAAAAGTACATTAATTTTATTATTATGAAGTATAGCATAGTATGATAAGAGTACAAGCAAACCAATAGAGGTTTTTTTTAATAGGACTGTAACGTATTGGGCCCAGGGCCTTGAACACTAATCTCGTTTAGAAGGTAAAATAACCGCATAATATAACATCTAAAGAAAGCTGCTGTCAACCTATTATATACGGTATAATTTTAAAATTATGAAAAATTTATGTGTTATATAATGAGTAGAGATTAAAACATAATAATAATTCATATGGCTTTCAATACAAAACATTAAAATTAATCAGACAACCAACTTTATATATGTACCTTTTCTTTGCCAGCTTCTACTAAATCTTTTACTTCTTCTTCCACCTTAGCAGGTTCTGCATCTTGTAGTTTTGCCTGTTGTAAAGATTCATCTTGTGGCCTATAGCTTCTAAATACTGGCCTGGAAGATATGAAAAACACAAACATTTATATAAAATCTTTTTAATTATGTGTCACATATCTATTAGGGGATTTTAATAACAATAAGAAAACATACTTAGTACAGTTGTTTCTATATATGTAATAGTTAATTAACATGGGAAAGGGGGAGATTAGTTACAAAAAATATAAGTTACTTTGGAAGTGCAACAGCTTCTTTACTCGCTGAAGTTGAAGAGTCATTATTAAGATTTTTTCCGTTTCAAGTTCTTTAACCGCTCTTTTCTTTTAAGGGCTTCTTCTTCGAGGTTGCCAAGACCTTCCATTGTGTCTAATACCACCATAATATGTTTAAGACTTGGTGAAGTTACCTGATTTTTTATATACTTATTCAAATGGTGAAATAGAGATTAGAGTTTTGATTTAATATGCACGGTTAGTCTTTAGAATACGTTTTGTGACACAATCTTAAAATCATAACATAAACAATTTCACACTAATTTAGGTTGTAGGTTTTTAAGTTGTCAATACTCTTTGACAATTGACAACTATTGACAGATACTGACACTAAATATTGTGTTACCACCGTGTATACTAATCAGCAGGGTGATTTTGTAACTCAATAGTGTTAATCACTAGACATTAGTTGACAACAACTATCTGTCAAAGAGCAGTTTGGTATATTTTGCTATTTTCGATTGCTAACGATTATGACGTCAAAAGGAACCGAGATGGTTGATCGTCACCGTAAATGAGTTTTTGTATCGATATTTTAAAACTTGCGATTTTGTACGCTTAGTTATCATCAAACTGTTATTCACTTTGATCGTTGAAAGACACTACTCAAAGGTAGTGTTTTATTCTTATATTTTGGTGATTAACAATGTGATTATTATTTTTCTTGTCGTTTAGTGATTTTTAATTGTGTTTCATAATATTGCAGAATTATGGCACGTCTAATTTTGTTGGGTTTAGCTGAAGAACAAAATAAAAAACGTATTTCGCGCATTAAAAGGCGGCAAATACGCGATGTCCCAAATGTGTTTGAATTACCGGAAAACGATTTTATTGCTAATTATAGCTTAAGTAAGTCCGCTTTCCAGCAGGTTATGGAGGATATAAAACCTTTCCTAAGGCAAGCAAAACGTACAACGGCCATTCGCAATGAACGTATAAAAATTGTAAAAAAAAAATTATAAAAATTGTATAAAACTTAAATATAACATAGTAAAAGAATACACTACAATACAAAAACCAGAAATTGTTTCTTAAAACTGGGCAGAGTTTGGCACAAGTTTTCTTTTTTTTTCTAGAAAACTGCTGAGAAGTTAATTATAGGTTAAGAATCTTGTTTAACGCCATCTAGTAGAGTAAGATGCAGTTATGACAACTTAGTCAAAACTAAAACCCTGTACTTTTATGCTTGCCTGTACCATTTTGCCACTTTTATGTTTCAAACTTATTAATATTATATTTATTAATCAATTGGTTAATTATAAATTCATGTCTAGTTTTTCAGTCAACCAATTCTTACCGTATTTTAGATTGAACACAGCATAAGGAATCATCGAATAAATGAGGGAATAGATAGATAATGATTTTACTATTAAAGCTCAAATGAAATTAGTATATGCTTATTATTTGGTGCGATAATAAAAAAACAACGATTTGTCCTTTATTTTATTAATTTATACTTACATTGTTATTCAATGTTGCTTATTAGTTATAAACTAATCTACTTATGGCAAAATACAAGTTCATGTCCTTAAAGGATAAAATAAATAATATTTATTAAATTAAGACTGTTAGATTCTATGGGTACGACTTATATTTATAACAACTTAACTTATATATATTATAATACATACAATTATTTCAATATTATATAACTAAATTTAGCGTGATCATAGCGGAAACTAAGTTTTATATGTAGAGCTTAGAATGAAACTGGGTCTCGAAAACTATTTCATTCCATTTTTTTACTCATCGGAATGTCTAAAATATACATAACACATATACTTCAGCTTAACAATGACAAATTTTAAATGTTGGTAGGTACTAACAAAATTTGTTTGCATTAACAAAACAGCGCTCTTGTCTTATCTCAATATTGGTCCCATGAGGTAGATTACCAATTGATTTATGAATAAAAAAAAGAAAATGCTATCGTATACCACACCTTTCTAATATTGTAGTAAATTTACAAAAGGCGTTTATGCGGTATCCGTATTGACGACATAGATAATAATAATTATAGTTTTCATAAAAGTGGCCTGACATGTCGTCTGCTATCAAAGTTTAGTCTGTTGGAAACGTTGTTGACTGGAACTCCGTGATTAAGTGACAAAACCTTCGTCACTATGTTCAAATCCTCGTGTGCTCTACCATTTAAGCCAGTCTGAACTAATAGTTGCTTCAACTCTGTATCTGGATTTAGCTGGGTTTGTTGGTTAATGGGAAAAAAGCCATTCGTATGAACGGGGCTGAACGTGTTAAATCTGTTATAATTTACATTGTTAACTCCAAAGTTACCCACCCCACTTTCATGGCGAAATACTCGATTTCCCTGTTTACCTTGATTTATATTTTGATTTTGGGCGAAGTTCTGATTGGATGAAGGATGCAAAAAGGTCGTTATTCCTTGCGGGAGGTGGTTATTCTGTAAAGGAAACTGCTCCGATTGTTGATTGCGAAGATGGATGAGAAAATCGATAGCTTCTTTGTTAGGTAACGCTTGATTAGCTAATGTGTTACTTTGTTCTAAGGCTACGCTAGGTTGAATCGAAATCTGAGGTGTCGGTGGTCTAATGCCAACGTTGTTTAGTTGTATTTGCTGTACGTTCTTCTGTTGGTTATTTTGTTGTTCTGCAAACTGCCTTTTCAATTGTTCCTGCTCTAGCAAAAAGAGTTGTTGTCTTTGCGCCTCCTTTTGCTGAAGAAGAAATTGTTGCTTACGTAATAATTCCTCTTGCTGTCGTTGTTGAAGTTGAAGTAGCCTAAGCTGTTCTTCTAAAAATCTTTGTTTCTCCTCAAGTTGTTTTTGCAAAGCAAGCTGTTGAGCCAAATAATCTGACTGAGGAAGTTTTTGAGCTCCATTTATATTAGCTTGATCATGTGAGGGTATATTTACAGGCAAAGTTTTCGATACCTCTTGGTTACTTTGCTGGTATATAGGGATGACTTTCTTAGGTATCCCATGAGCATCTTGGTGAACAGTAAAAGCTGCAACTAGAGGTGCTTGGTATACTTGTACGTCACGTTTGTCAACCTCTTCGATGTTTAGACCATCTTTGTCGTGAGTTGGTTTAGGTGTAGTCGTAGTTGTGGTGGTCGTTGTTGATGACGTGGTAGATATTAATCGTGGCTTGGATGTACTGATTCTGTTTATTTGACTACTGGCAAAGTTAGACTTTGATGTGCTTGGAATGCTTCTTATCTGTTGGACATTAATTCCCGATTCCTTAGCTTGGAAGATTTCTTTGTACGGTGTTTGAGTTGGTAATGTTGCAGTTATGTAGTTTTCGACATTACCGACCGTTGTACTTAGTATTGATATCTTATTGTCCAATAACGTAGGTGATGTATTCGAGCTGTTCTTGAAAGCTTCCTGACCGTTTACAACAAAGGAATGTATTTGTATGTTCTCTTTTGTTTTTCTTGCACCAAAAGAGTTTTCACTTGTAGTTAAGGTTTCATCACTTGTTGGAGACGTGGGGTCTGTGTTATCAGAGTCTGTGGCTTTGCCGCTTTCTTCGAGGTCACTGAGAGCTTTCAGTAGAGCTTTTCTTATATAAGGGTCTAACCGAACAGATGGGTTTGGTTCAACGCTGTTTACTTTATCATTAAATCCGTCTGTCGTGAAATCTTGAGCGGCACCTAATCCCAATGCTAAGGACAGCAATAGTATCTGAAATACAAAAAAAAAATCTTTGTAAATACGCTAAGCATTGCAAAAAGAGACAGGTGGAGTAGATGTCACAGTACTGTCGGCCCTTTACAGTACGTCTAAAATGGATTTTACCTATTTGTTAGGTCTAAAGTTGATAATAAATAATCATTTAAATCGATATAGTAACTAGTAACTTCTACAAGCTCTAAATAATTAATACGAGTAATTTTTTAATGAGTTTATAAAACATTAGTATGGTAAAGAATGATTAAAAGGGATGACTTAGTACTATGTAGAGCTTTAACAATCATATTATGACTCGCTTCTCCAACTCTAAAGCATACAACACTTTCTAGATTCGTAATGTCACGAACAGTTGTCAAACCCAGTAGTACAAAGCTTTATAAACGGTAGATTGGTTCGGTGTATTTTATTTGTACAGTAATTTGTGCTTATAGACTTTTAAAAATTTTAATTAGGGCTTTTATATCGAGTAATTCAGATATTATAACTGTCGGCTTTTAAGCCTCAGGCAATTAAAAAATATATATTATTGATTTGTTTCAATATTATAAGCGAAAATTCACAAGGCAAATATACGAGTAGCTAAGAACTTACAGAGCTTTCTCGCGTCTCTAAACTTAACACGCGATCAAACGTTGGCAACCTCTGTAATAATATTCATAGCGCATATTGACCGCGTATATCATTATAAACAATAATAACTAGTGGTCACTCGTCATGCTATGATTAATGTATAATTCTAGCAATATTCGTTATAGTGCATCGTATTCGTTTATTATTATATAATAAAAGTATACGATTTATATTAACTATAACACTGTATGGCATTATGACGTCTTAAATAAGGTTCTTTGCTATTTTAGGCTACAAAAATTATCCAATCTTTTATTCTTCGTCGGAAAGGGCCTAAGACCTCTGTCTTCTATAATACTCCGATATCTAATACGTTAGCAGTCTGGTAGATTACCTATGACCTAGAGTTTTGGATTTTAGGAATTGACATGTGTATCTGTGAAAAAAATACATAAGCATAAGCTATTTTTTTTTATTCATAAGACAGCCAGGATCGCAACCCCTCCTTGATTATATTTTTCACACCCCTAGATTATCACGCTTTTTAAAATTGTAGCCTCGTTAAGCGAAATCTTATTTAAACATCGTAGTAATAGTGACATACTTACGCGCGTATTTGCACAAAATTTCTACTTCTACGCCGACTTTACTGTGTAAACTGTTTCGTAAAAAACACACACGTGTGTGTTATTACAGTTGAAGCTATATTCGTTCAGCACGTTGTATATTTATTATATTATTCAATTATCGCATACATAAACAAAATCAACTTAGTTTTCTTATTTTTTAAGTATTCATTTATGTTTAATTTAATATTAAGTTGGCTTAATTACTACCACTTAGTTACTGACAAACTATTCAGGTGTAACCAAAATTAACGAAGAGGGCTATGGTCTCTATTAAGGTCCAATGAACTAAGTAAAAGCGATGTGTTATTGACCTATGTAACGAATAGATTTATTACCTAATCCTTAAACATGTTTCTTTCTTGTGACATCTTTTGTTGAAATAATAATTTACAAATCTAGACGTATATTTAACGAACTGGAAACGAAGTACATACATTCAAATAATCGTGCTATTGTACAGGCTAAGCTAAACGAGTGACTTGCTGCTATTCGTGATCACAATGGTACATAATTATATAAGAGTGTATTGTCAACAATAGGAATTTCTCTTTCAATAATCCAAGTCAATAGATTAGATAAGCAACATCTCGTAGTGTAGAGGCGGTAAAACTGTTGACAAACAAGCAAACACAGGTTCTAACCTATAGCCAATTATATGTTGTCAGTTGTCATGCTTGTCGGAGGTCACATACCAACTGATTCGTGACACGATTTGTTTGATGGTATTAGGAAATGTATAGTTTCTCAATGTAACTAATAAAAAGTATTAATTCCTCCACATGAGGCATGGCAGACACATTCGTATTTCAGTGATAATTCCAAGTTTCAGTCATTTCAGCTTCAGCTAGGATTCGAAGCCAAGACTGTTCTGCCAGGCGAGTAGACTTATGGCGGTCATTTGCACAAATAGTAAGGAAATATGACGTCTATGTAGAATACTACGCATCGTGTAATTTAAAAATGGAACAATCTTCTACTCCGCAACATGGCGACCAAAGAGGTGACTTATCAAAGGTTTATTTTAATTTCCAAACTGGCTAGCACGGAGAAATCTGTTTATGAAAAAAAAACTATCGGTATTAGTTATTTGTCAACATCGTCATTGGTTAAGTTCTGAATTGTACTAATTTCTGAATTGTAAAAAGTACTCATCAAACTTTGCCTCGGCCTATATTTACAGTACATTAAAAGAAGGTGACTAAAATAAAGGCACATTACATTGATTATCTATTAATCATTCGTCGAGCACAAGTTTCGATTTCACTGAGTGAGCGATTCTTTTCCCATAAATCATAATTTACACTTCTCATCAACTCGCGATGGCATTTAATAGAATTGACGATATTGCGTAAAGATTATACAATATGTGCGTAATGGACCTAGACCTGGCTTTGAAGTAATTAATTATTTTAACATTAAATTGGCCATTCATTAAATAATTAATAAAAAAAAGGAATTCTGACATTGAATATTATATTATACATTTCTGTAGAATGAATGACAACTCAAAAATGGCGCACTCTCTTAGCAACATTTGTAGAATAAAAGTTCGTCTTTAACTGTCGGGCTGAGACGTATTAACACATTTCTGTGTCTGTTTCACGGATGGATTTTTAGTATGGGCAAGTGGCTACTACAGTGCCTTGGATGACCGAAATAATTTATCGTTTCAAACTTACGATGTATTGTATTACTCACCGGTTTCATTATATATTTTTTACAATAATTACTTATTATAACAATACTAATTATAAAAGAATTTCAATTTTAAATTAATAGACATATATGTAAAAATTAAACTAAATTATACATAAAGTGTACTTAAGAAAGACATTACTAAGACAAAAATCTACACTCGCAATTACAGATACGCCGGCCTAATGATTTTTTTTATCTAAAACCTGCAATTAAAGTCGATTAAGATCGAGATCGCCTTTGCACAGTAATTGTAGTCAGCATGTTCAAGATTATGAATTATTTACGTTTAATGTACTTTCACCGAATTCAATTCTATTACTCAAACGAAATCATGTATTTAAATCAGGCTTCATTATATGGTAATGAAGATTTGTAGTTGACTTCCGTATTACATATCTGACCCACCGTTATGTTTTAAAACATTGTTTGTTAATAGTGTATTTTTTATATCGATTTCTGTTACCCACATACAATACCATAGAAGCCAAATGAATTGCTAATTTAAACCCCCCTCGCTCGCAAACACGGCGCTCGCCCAAAACGCCCGGTTAGTATTCGTGGCTCCGTCGGAACATAATACGAAATTGTCAATAAAAAAAAATCTTATTTAAATTATAATGATAAAATGATTTGCGCCAAGTGTACATTGCATTACATTATTGTCCAAGTGTCATATCATTTAACGGATGCCTAAAGAGATTTCGGTTGCCTAAGGCACAAATGCCTTCTTTGCCCTTAACTTATAATAATCCGCGCAAGTGACATTATATGTTCCGATGGGCTCATTAGTCCAATGGTAATGTTTGGCTAATAGTCAACGGGTGGCAGGTTCGATTCTCTTCAGATCCAACGTGTTTCTAATCAAATTATAATTTTTTGAAACATATTGGACTTCGTCGCAAAATTTGGATATCAAATGGGCAGTACGAATATTGAAAAAAATCCATCCGGTAAATACCACTCTCTACGGATGAAAAAGCCAAGTTAAGTCGCGTTTCGGTTTCAGACTATATTCCCGAATACTGAAAGCTAAAATAGGTCGACAGCATATCAAGTCAAATAGCTGATGTATTTGACCGTCTATTAAGTAATTCCATGCTATAATTAAAATATAGTGTTGTGCGTTACATAAGAACAGTTAACCTAATCGTAAATGATTTCCAAGTTCACTTCGTGTAATGAGATTCGCTTTTGTTTTTAGTACCTAATATGATGAGAAATCAAATGATTGAGTAATGCTGTTCGAGATCCCCATTATTATTTTAGCCACGCTCTTAAAACATCGCATGATTTGCGTCACCTCATTAACCGGTAATATAATCTCGTCGCTGTATATGCATTGTTTTCGGTCTGGAATAATAGGTATGTAATATTTTTTATTACACGATATCGCAACTGGTCACAAAGTGAGTCTTGTAATACTTTTATTGCTCTACATGACTAAATAATATTGAATTGAAATTACTTTTTGGTTTTTTAAAGTCAAGGGGGATTTTATATGTTTATTGACAGCCTTTAAGTAATAGAGGATGTCCGCTTTACATCCTATTAAAATACCTCCGAACAAGAACTAAATGCACTATTTCGAGCGATAATTATTGTTGATTTAGGAAGAGAGACGAGTACTGGTTCCCTTAATAGAAGGTGAACTACCACAGTCATATAACATCTCACATGATGTGCTGTCAGCCCATTTTAGCTTAGAATATCCGAGACCCACAGGCTGAAACCGAATATCGATTAAACTTCACAGCTTATTCATCAGCGGTTTGTAAAATAAAGCCAGGTGTGTCGCCAATTTCGTCCGCATAAAATACTTATTACAACATTCAAAGATTTTTTTTAATTCAAACCAGTACTTCCTGAGATTATCGCGTTCAAACAAACAAGCTCTTGAGCTATAATATTAGTATAGATACATTAATGCTAGCAAGTCTTTCGGCAACAATGGCATTTTATTATCTAAGATGCCCCGAAGCAAATAAACTATAAAGCTCACTTCTCACGACTGTTAAAGGTAATCTAAGGTCGTCGAATTAATGAATTACACATTATGTTTCAATTTTTACGCCTCGAAAATTCGAAATAATTGAAGAACGAGACTCTGATTCAATTGTACAGTAATTGCACGAAAGCAATACTGTAATCTGTGAACTGCATTGTTTAAGCAATTACAAATTTGGTATATGAGAAGTTTATAGTTTGGTTTCTTTTTCGTGAAATTGTATTCGGTATTAAACCATTAAAGTGGCATAGGTATACGAGCTCATCCATTTTACGTCCGTGAGTTCAAGAATTCGATTCTCGGTCGTGCGTTCCATAGATTTATAGCAGCAATGGGAATGGTTAAAGATATCAGATAGCGGTGTAACGGCGTTTAACATTTTATTATTCCATCATAATTATAGTCTGATGAAGTATGGATAAAAGAAATGTATGACTCTAGAACCTACAATGGTACAGCTGCGCGGGCGGTGGGTTTTGATGTTGATGTTGTAACCCGCTATAAAAGGACTTGATATATTACTGTCAACAGTCAATGGTCAATAGAGAAATCGCGAGATGATGAGAAGACCGTATCTATTCTCTACGTATATCCGCTTGTAATCAGGCACAAAGTTCCATCAAATGTTACCATATATATATATAGATATAATGAGTATTACAGAATATTATGAACAGATATACCATTTGCTTGTAAATTACAAAAAAAATATTTTTAAATATAAATATATAAACAAAAAGGCTGTATTTTTCTCTTTTTTGCCTCTACCCACAAATAGACTCTCTTTGTTTTTTATATGGAGGTAGTTACAAAATGGAGAGATATATTTTTGATTTCAAAGGAAATATTTGAAAATTATCACAACATGTTATTAAACCCTTTTTAGTTTTAAACATAGCGTTTTTTAGGAAAGCTAGTTATTGTAACAGAAGATTTATATTGTATTTAAAAATATACGGACCCGTGTAAACTCTATGACGCCAAGTACTAAAATTACATAAAAAACAATTCCTTCCAATCTTGGTCTTCATCGAAAAAGACGCGTGCGTTAAGACATTGCTGAATCATCTTCATCAGAATTGTTAAAATTAAGGACAGTTCATCAAGATTACTTAATTCGTCGTGAGAACGATTTGATGATCAAAATTACTTATCTAAGCGCTTTCACTGTCTCACGACGTAAAATCTAACATTCGACGCATCTTCACGGTAAAATGTTGTTAATTTCATCGAATTGAAGCGATTAACATTAGGTTATTTTTGAACATTACATCTGGATTCCGAACTAGTGAAAGGAGAAACTGAACATATTTAATTAAATATATACAGACTTTTTTTCTCTGAGTCTATGTTTAAAATATGAATTTGGCTAAGCATTTGATAATAGATTAATACGATTTTTTTTCGTTTCTAGTAACAAAGTAGTTATTAGATTTTTGATATAAACTCTGTAGTTTTTTCTTTCATTACGTATATTTTATTATAGATATATGCTAAATAAACTATTCTGTGAATAAAATCTTTTTAATATCTATATTGTATTAAATTTATTGTTAAATATAATAATTCTTATATGGCCTAAAAATACGTAAAACTGATAATAAGAAAAAGTCAATAAAAAATTAAACAATTAAGAAAAAATATGTACAGTATAGAACACAAAAAAGGAGTAGAATAGTTTTAAAAAGGGAAAACACGTTTATCCTAACATCTTTGAGTCTTAATTGCACTAAGCATACATTACACATATCTTCTATCATTATTCTTTCATTTATCATATTTAAGTTTGTTGCATAATCACATCAATGATAATTTGTTGATAGTTTTAAGATGTTCATCGTCATTTCACTTCCTCATAAGTGTCGTAACTGAATAAAATTATTGCGATTTACCATATAAATGAATGCCTTATGGTTTATGGTTCAAGTAGTTTTTTTAATTTCGGAACCAGTTTAGTCCAGTTAATTGAAAAGTTATTAATTCCCACAGTTGGTTTTTGATCTATTCTGATGAAATAAGTAACGGTCTCGAATTTGAATTAGGTTTAACTAAAACACTTTAACGGTTTAAAACGTGATATATATTAGTTAAACTTATTTAAAACCACGGCTGCTGCATAGCATTCGGCGTTAAAAATAATTTTCTAATAAGTTTAAGTAATAAAAATCGCGTTTTAAAGCGTTTAACTGTTTTATTTAAATGTGTACTACTCGCGTAAACTACAGGCAGTATTTAATTGACTTAATAAAATTTAATGAAAATTAATTATCAAACAATTTTTGACTTTAGTTTTGTGTATGTGTTATGTTATAATCTAGTATTCTATACCGGCTTTGTTATTTATGTATATAGCAGGTTTAATATTATCCCCAAACTATGATGCAAGTTTATCTTTCATCTTTATCATCGGTATGGGTTGAGCTTAACTCTTATCATAAAGTATAAATCCAGTTAATTATTGTTTCAATAGATCAATTTGAATGTTTTGTCTCAACTTAGTGCTATAATAGGTGAATAAACTAAGTTAACCCTTTTAATATTACATAACTGATATCCTTAAGATACAAGCTCGGTTACTTGGAGAAAACCTCTAATTGGCTCAAAGGTTAAGAGACATTTTAAATGAATCATTTAAATAACGCTTTATTAATGTTTAAAACATGTGAACTTTGTTATGTAAGTTTCGATTCTAGACCGGCTCAATTTGGGAGATAGATTTCTCTCGGTAGTATTCTAGAATCGGTATTATGTAATTAAGGAATTGTATTCCATAAAAGGTACTAGTTTTTGCTATTATGACACTATAGATGATAGTCTATAGTTTACGCGAGTAGTACACATTTAAATAAAACACTTTAACGGTTTGAAACGCGATATATTAGTTAAACTCGGATACTCGAAACGTCGGGCCGAAGTTAAAAATCATTTTCAAATACGTTTAACTAATACATCGCGTTTTAAACCGTTAAAGTGTTTTATTTAAATGATAGTAAAGTCTTAATATTATTATACATTTCATAAATGAGTGCTACAAAAAAATAACATAAATTGCTAAAGTATTATTTTTGTATAATTAAACTAAAGATTATCTGTACAGGTTATTACCAAACGTTCATAAAACAGTAACAGTACCGTGCAGTATTTTTTTTTTCAAAAATATCAGTTGTAATTCTCGACGACATATCGCAAGACAAAAGAAAGCTTTCGTGTTTAAGTTGCATAGTTTCTCTTAATGCAACTTACTCGTCATAACACACGTAGGCACAACATTGGAATCCTTAATAGCGCTGTTCTTCCGACAAGACTTGTAAACGCGCAGATCGCATCATCACGCATGCACTTTACGTAATATGGGAGAAAGCGCACTCTTGCGCATCACATATTTTAATAAAAAATAAATGGGGTAAAAATTCAAATTTGGAATCTACAAAAACACAGATTATTAAAAAAAAAATACTGGCGTAGTAGCTAGACAAAGACAGCTTATATCCATTTAAAAAAATACTTTTTTAATATCGTAGATTTTTGGCGAGAATCATGACATGAAGCCACAGATAATAAATACCAAAAAGAAGACAGCGGCACCATGCATTCCATAAAAAAAAAAACACGTGTACTCACTAAATGCATCGCGTAAGCCATGGTTCACACAACACCCAAGCACTAGCGGCTTCGTCGCTGTAAGAGTGTCAACTGCGGGCCACCAAAGACTCAGCGGCCCCCGCTATTGTACATACTATAGACCCGAAGATAAGGATGTTATGATACTGATCGTGTTACTGTTTACAAAACCATTCAGCAAATGTCGGTTAATGTTTCAGTGTTATTATCTGTGGGAATTGCATATTACTTAGATAACTTGAAATTCAACATTGTTGTACTAGCAATTACTTAAACCCTGGTTTATATATAATCAGCAATTGAAAATACTTTTTTTTACTTTTAAAAGACGAGCATTTAATATTAACATGGAACATAGAGTTTATAAGTATTGAAGAAAATGTTTTTTAATGAATAAACAAGTAAGTAACACATTATGAACAAGAAAGATTTTAACTTACTTATGCAGAGTACGATAAAGTCGCGTCATTAAATACCTTTTAATAGATTTTTTTTTGTAATTAATGTAATTTTAATAACCACATCGTAGTTATATAGAAGTCGTAGATTATATCAGTCTGTAGCTAATTCTTGTAACTAGGCATTTTTTAGTTTTCAATGTAAGTCCATCTTCAGAAATGTCCCTTTGTTAAACATACGATCGGAACATATCGGAGCTACATCTAGAGAAAGTTACGTGATCACGATACGTAATTCTCGTAATATTTGGCACGGCTCGCCAATATTATCTGACTATATCGAAAGCCAAAGCATCAATACAAATGACGCTCGGCATGAATGAACAATATTCCTTGGTATTGCGAATTGAATTTGACTTTATTACAAAAACAAACCATTTGTATAGTTTTAAAAGGAATTAATGTGGTAGCAAAACTAGCATAAACTTAACTTCTTCTCTAGATTTACAAAAAATCACCTTAGATGCTAAATGAAGTTTGAAAAACTTTTTGTAATCATGTTTTGCCGTTCTATCTTATTTTTTAGGAAAGGAACTACTTTTACTATACAACATATGGCAAAGTGGGGCATGGGGCGAGCACTTTTCTGTGTCCGTTTCAGGCAGGTAGTTCTGCGCCCGGCCCGACCGAAACAATCTATGTGTCCCCAGGATTCAAACCCAGTATACCTCGCACTTAACGCAATGACAAACAACACATAAGGTATTTTTAATAGTGTATTTTTAATAACTTTGTTTTAAAAATTTTACTAAAATGACCCGTTACTTTAAATGATATCTTGCGTTATTAAGTTTTATTAAGATTCTTTATCAATTTTAACGGATAAAACTTTATAATTACGTATAACATTAACAATAGGTAAATCACATTTGTCACGAAACCTTTTATAAAACAGTCGCATATAAAAGAGTTCAACGCACGCAATGCTATATTATAATAATCAGTGGCGCAAGTAACTCTAATAGTTTGATATTCAAGTATTAAGTTGTTATTTGATAATATTGTAATACCGTCTTATAAGTGTTTCTTAGTACTTAATTATACTTTTTAATTTTTTTTTTGAACTTCTACATTTTAAATATGAAACCGTGTGTCTCATAGAAATACAAAATATTGTATGAAAGTACTAAGGTCAAAGCAACCGGTCTGCTCTCCCAAAGGTCTATGGACTTTCTTTTCCATAAAGCTGTGAGTCAACTAGGTGATTACTAAGGAAGTAAAAAGCCATATATTTTTGTATGCATTGGTGTTACGTAACTTTTTATGCGTAAAACAGCCGAATGTAAAGGAAAATTAAATATCGTGTTAACATTTCTTGAAATAATATTCTTCACATGTTATTACACATGAAGGCACTATATAATTTAAAAATCGAAAATAAATTGAAAATTCGACTCGCGCAAGACTTGAACTGCTGACGATGCCGGTTCAAGTCCTGCTCGAGTCGAAAAATTTTTCAAATTATTTTCGATTTTTAAATTAAGTATCTTTTTGATTTCAAGGTATATGAGGGAGGTAGTGTATAAGTTGTTTTAAGATAACAATATATCTTTTTTTATGATAGAGGAAGACAGACAAGCTTGGAGTTCACTTGATGGTAGATGAAATACTCAGCTATAACATCTACACACGATGTGTTGTCGACCTATTTTGGCTTTGGATAGGATTGTGGTTCGTGACCAAGAGACATCAAAGTCTAATGTTTTAGAAAAAATATAAATGTGGATCTGTGTTGGATCGAAAGCATGACGATTATTACTTACATGTTATTGTAATGTAATAATTTCAACTAATTAAAGTATTTTGTTTATATTCCTTTAAACTGAACTTACACTATGGAAAAATGTGTAATCATGTCTTCCTTTGTGGCGCAAACATATTTCTATATATATTTTTACTAATAAATATAGAAAGACGAGTAGTTTAGAGATTAAGCGAAATCCCGTTTCCCCCTTGTGGTGCATGGGGCGAACACATTGTTGTGTTCGTTTCACTAATCCGTTCTTTGACAGGCAAGTAGTTGATCAGACTTCTGTGCCCTGCCCGACCGAAACAATTTTTTGTTTTCTTGGAATTCGAACCCAGGGCCTCTCGCGCTTAAGGCAATGCTAAGCAATGCGTTTAACCATTTGGCTACAGAGGCGGTCGTCGCCTAGATAGAACCTCGAAAATGATACTGTCTATAGTACCTTTAGTCTCCCCGTGACCACGGCTGCTGCAAAGCATCCGAAACGTCGGGCCGAAGTTAAAAATCATTTCCAAATAAGTTTTACTAATATATCGCGTTTTAAACCGTTAAAGTGTTTTATTTAAACTCGAAAATGACTTCAATAGTATTAAGGTTTATATTGACGGAAAACAAAATTCACAATTTATTTCTAAGTGTTGTTTTTTATTATTGTAGATACGTATTGGATAAGGTCAAGTGATTCATAGTATAAAAACCAAGTCGCTTAATGCACACCGTACTGCATTGTGACGAGAAAGTCGAAAATTTCGTGTTCCTACTTAATTTATTCCCCAGCTCTTCATTGTACTCTAGAAAAATAAGAATTAATCAGAAAAGTTGGAAAGCTTTGTTGCGTTTGTAATATATTCGTGAACAATGCAAGTGTTCGTCACTCCATTTGATGTAGGGTTAACTAGGGTCAAATAAACGACGGTTTAATTACATGATGACGGCTAACTCGTGTGAGGTGTTTCAAAAACCAATTACCGAACTATATATCTAGAAATTAATGTCTTGTATTGAAGATGGTCGTCATAATATTGTGAAGGGATAAGGGTAATAAATTTTGCATGTCTGCATTCAACATAAAACATTATAAGTCTCTTTAACAATAAACATATAGCATTGTTTTAGAATTTACATGTTCTTTATATATGGGGGCAGCCTCAGCGCATATCGAGACTTATATAACATATCGACAAATAAACCGTGAACTTATATATATATATATGAGAAAAGAATAAGTTAATTAGAACTATGTTGAACACGGCAAGGATCTAACCCAGGTTGATTATTAAGCCTGGGTTCTATTAATTAAAAGTTCTTTATCTTACTACATTTATTAACATGGCTTAATTGGTTAAGTTAGTATTAAGTTTGAGAGTGTTCGTATCTCGCGCAACATAAAATGTTTAAATGAACAGATACAGAAACAGCAATATATAATTTCAAATAATAAAATAATACAAATAGAAAAGGTAAAATTTAAATCAGTATTTCGGTTACAGTTTGTGGATTTGTTGTTTCAAAGTTATATGACCGAGTCTTTACTTCCATTCCCGTGTGCCCTACTGGGAGAACAATCGCAACTCATTGCGTAATACAACGACAAGTAAGAAATAAATACTCTGTGACACCCTGACAAATAATCAAAATTGACTGAGATGACGACGCCACGCCTTCTGCTAAGATGTCAGGTTTTTACCGCTTTATGGCTATTTCGTCATCGCGACTTTCTCCGCGTCATTTACATATTCTTACGCACATCGGTTCTGTTTGCATAAAAAAATTTCACTGAGGACCAACGACGAGTTGTCAAGTTACTTAATTGTAGACATTAATTCGCTAACTTATTAGGAGGTGACGAGGTGCGGTCGACGCTTCGTGGTAAGGTTTTCAGATAATTAATTATAATAATTATTTGACAATGTAAAGATTTCCGTATATAGTTATTAATAATCCTACTTGTTATTATTTTGTTGTCGTTACTACTACTACTTTAATACTAAAGAATACAATGGCTATATTTGTATATGACCTATAACTAATTGATAACACAACATTAAAGATAGACTAAAATTTAGTAACTGTGTAATTGCAGTAAATAAAAGAAAATCTTCACTCACTATCTATAGTTTAGTAGTAGATATTTAAGATTTTAAATGTGTTAGATATATTAGTTGATTTGCTTTATATTTTTTTAATAAATTTAAATAAGACACGGACCGTAATTAATATAAAAAGTTATCTAACATATATCACGTTTAAATCGTTAAAATATATTTAAAAGCATTTACCGAAATGCAATAGTGACGAATCCATCCCAAAAATTTCCTAAGTGTCAACAAAACGGGTTCAAGGCTAGTCAAGAGTTACTAGTCGAAAATATACGACCTTTTTGTTCACGTATCGGCAGTACATCTACATCATTACAATGCATGATTGATTTTGGTATTATTATTGTATTATTGTTCTTAAATGAACCCACTGCGCTTGGCAGCACTTTGGCCATTGAACTTAGATATATTAAGATAAGCTTCTCATAAAGATGCGAAGAGTTTTAGAAATATCTTGATGTCAAACTATGAGGTTCTTTGTAATTATTCAGTGATGTGAGGCCGCTAGAGGCAGAGTAGCCTAACTGCAATTTTAAGACTTATTTATATTTTTATGGTCCAAAAATGTTCGTCTACAAAAGCACAGTGCCAAAAAATGTTACTATAATTCTTACACAAATAATAGTACAAATACATTTTCGCCTGAGTTAATTGCGCATTTTTCCTACTTATCGAAACCCATGTTTTTTTATTATTAGGCCACTCTGCCGGCCTAGCAGCCTCAAATTTTACTTACTATGTAAAATAATTGTCAAAAGTGAAATCCTGTTTTTCTCTGTGGTGAATTTATTGCTGTTTGCTGAACCTATAGTATAATAACACTCATCTATTTTATTCACAGATACGAAGGTCATCAAATTTTTATTAATGTTTGACTTAAAGAATTTATTGTCTCCAAGGGATTCTAAACTCTCGTGCGTGCGTTGCTAAGCAACACGTTTAATAGTTGATCTATTAAGGTAGCTATGTTTGTAATATTGTTTTAACTTAAATTCGAAGTATATTTAGACTCTTGAATTAAAGGGGAAACATATTTTACAGATACAAAGAAATTAATCACACAATATATAAGTTATATTTTATAATAAACATAATATTGCAATAACATTTATAATGAAATATTGTTGAAGATCGCTACGAACATAGTATAGATGAATTATCTTATAAAATGGCAGTTTATTACGTTTTAAAAATACAGTTTTAAGTATCGTCTGTAGTTTACGCGACTAGTAACACTTTATCGGTTTAAAACACGATATTTGTACTACGGTTTGATGTTTCGGATGCTTTGCAGCAGCCGTATTCTCCCTGTTTTAAACCGTAAAAAATTTGTTTAAATACAGAACTGTCTTTTGAATTATATACTTGTACTGATAACATATACACGGACTAAACGTTTTCGATAGGATCATTGAAGGGCGCTACGTAGAGTAGTTGCGCAAGATTACTGCGCGCGTATCGTCCACGTAGCTGAGGGGCTCCGTGCCCTGGACGACCCCATAACGAAGCCCAAGTCTCGTGATGCTGCTTCACACTCTCTGCTGAGTTGCGACGACTCTCCTATAAATGTTCAAAGCTTAAGTATGTCAAAGGCTTAGATTTATATTTATCAGAATTAATTTTAGATAGCTATATAGTTGAATATTCTCACCAGAATTGTTATATTGTTATATAATATTGGAAGGGAAATCACTTACATTAAAGGGTACATTTTAGTATTTGCTTATCGATTTTACTTTCTGGCAAATTTGTGCTCTGCTCAAAAGAAATAATTTTTAGTAATTTTCCGAATTTAGATTTTCAATCTTAGCAAAAACTGAAGCAGTAAATGTTATAAGGAAATATTAAAAACTGAATACATAATAAAAATAAGTGGAATCGAAAACAAATGTTAACTCGATGTTAAATCTCCGTAAAACAGCATTCATGTATAATTCCGATAGCATCCACTATGCGTTGTCGACTTTTAACAATCAGAATAGTAAATTAGGCTGTATTTTACCTTTCACGGCTTTCCTTCAATGGTTTGTGTTATAAATTGTGTAAGGCTTTCACGGCCATCGTTCAGCATATCATTGTCTTTCGGGCTGTTCGGCCGATGTGTGCAAGAAGAGGTTCTCGACGTATTCTTTTTCATATTTTATGTGAACAGAAACGCACAGCATCCAGCACGAGGGAACTAAGTGAAACAACACTTACCTCTTTTTGTAAGCATTTAACACGCATTTGTTGTTTTAACTGTCTCAAATAGTCTTCAGTCATTAATTCACGCCATCTGTAATAAAGAGATTTGTTGATTAGATGGGCTCAGTGATGTAATGGTAGCAATGTATAACTAATATCAACGGGTGGTGGATTCGATGCCTATCGGGTCGAACATGTTTCTGATCAATTTATAATTTGACTGAATAATGTTGAACTTCGTCTGGAAATGTGGATATTAAATGGGTGCTAGGAATATCGATATTCCGTCCGGGTCACGAACCACCGTTCACAGATGAAAAAGTTTAATCGCGTTTTAGTCGAATTTACGAATTACTTAAAGCCAAAATAGGTGGCGCATCTTATTGAATTGTTATATGGCTAGGGTATGTTTACGTTGCATCAAGTCAATTCCACGTCTGTCCTCATCTATAATTTATTTATCTTTTTAATAAAACACTTTAACGGCTTAAAACGCGATATATTAGTTAAACTTATTTGAAAATGATTTTTAACTTCGGCCCGACGTTTCGGATGCTTTGCAGCAGCCGTGGTTACGGGGAGACGAATAAGTTTAACTAATATATCGCGTTTTAAACCGTTAAAGTGTTTTATTTAAATGTGTACTACTCGCGTAAACTATAGACAGTATTTAATAATATCTTATTATATAGCTGAAAATGTAGATAAAGAAAAATTCTAGTAGATACTTTGTAGACATCTGTGCAGCCTTATAATAAGAAGCCCTAATGTTGAATAATGACTTATTAAACTCAACAAAGGATATGGGTCAATCGTATTCAAATATCACAAAAAGTGTTACGTACATATCGTTATGACCACTGTGACTAAAAGCCTCGAGCTATGTCTATGATTTTAGAAAGTCAAAGTTCATGGTATACGTTTGTATACTGAATTTTAATTAATGAAAACTT